GATGCTTTGCTAAGCTTGTTCTAAGTAGGTGCTTTAGACCACTGAGCCATCTCTCCAGCCCCTGGTTTTTAATTTTTAAAAATCATTTTAATGAGCTGAATTTCCACACGGTCTGTGGTAATTTCAACCTTCTCATTCCTAATTGCCTGAATTTGAGCTTTTTCTTTCCTTTTTTTTTTTGTTTTTTGTTTTTGGCGGAACCGGGGATTGAACTCAGGCCCTTTTGCTTACCGGGGAAGCACTTATTCCACTGAGCCATCTCCCTGGCCCCTTCTTTCCTCTTTGATGAGGTTACTGAGGGGCTTATCAATTTTATTTGAAAATATGGAATGCTTCACTAATTTGTTGTGCAGGGGCCGTGCTAATACCTGTATCGTTTCAATTTTAGTATGAAATGTTTAAGAAGGGAATTGATGAAGAGATTTGCAATAGTCACTGTTAGGCAAAGAATGCAGAATTAGCTAGAAGAGCAGACCTGGAAGGCCAAGCGTGGTGGCACGTACCTGGAATCCTCGTGCTGGGGAAGGCTGTTGGGAGGCCCGCAGGTTCAAGACCACCCTGGGAAACAGGGAGACTGCCTCAAAAGAGAAGGAGAGTGCAGAGGCCCTGGGTCCAGGTGAGACACGCTGGGAGGCAGCATGATGGCCACCGTGCCAGTTACTGCAAATGGTAAAAGTCCAAAATTTGCTTAATGATAAATCCTTTCCACCTAGTAACCCTGGTAGCTGGGTTTATTGTGCTTTTGGTAATTATGGACATACAAAGGATAATTCTCTCAAATGATAATAGTTTTGAGTACATTCTATAGCACTGGAAAGAGGAGCATAAGAGGAAACCGAGCCAGACATCTTTGTGACTCCTTGTTGGGTACTTTTATTGCAGTTTTCAAATAGTAATTCTTAGTCTTACCTACATACTAATTAAGGCGTGTGCAGGGTTTCACTCTCCACAGGTGCTGCTTCTGGTAAATTACAAAGTGGTAAGTGCCCTTTACTCAAGCGGAAGGGAATAAATTGTCTTCTCTGTAAGCAGAATTGTTCATCTTAGCAGATGACAGCCTGCTATCTCATTCTACTCCCTTTGCAATGAAAACTCCCCACCTGGAGGACCAAGGCATCCTCTCTAGAATCTGCCTAACTGGGTGAAGAACTGTGAGGATTTCATTTATGCAGATTTCCTGTTTTGGGTTTAACATTTTATTTTTTCGACACAAGGTCTCCCTATGAAGCTTGGACTCATAGTGATCCTCCTGTCTCAGCCTCCCCAGCGCTGGGATTATAGGCATACAGTGTGCCACCATGCTGGAGCTTGGTGGCATGTGGTACCAGGGATTGAACTTGGGACCTTGCACTTGCCAGACAGGTGCTTATGCTGCCGAGCGATTTCCCCAGCCCAGGTCTAACATATCTTAAAATCTAAGGTAAGGCACATACAAAAGTCTGTTCAAATGGAAGTCTTCACAGTGACTCTTAAATGAGATCAACAGTCGGGAAGGAACGCTGTTCCGATCCCCATGGAGACAGCCTGATTTCCCTGTGCTAGGAAGTGGATGTTACAGAAGCGTCTGACGTTCAAGTGCTTAACCAAAGAGAGAGCAAGGATTTGTAGTGAACAGTACTTAGATGTCATCGTCCTAGAGTGAAAGTCTGGTGAGCCAAAGGTCAGATATGTGGTCACAAAATGCGTTTATCTCCAGAGTATTTGGCTTTACAAGTATTTTATTCCTTGGTGATTGGGTACTGGCTCCTGACTGAGGTCACCTCGGCTGTTATGTTCCTACAGCCCAGATACACCTAGTTTGTAAGCAGTGACATTGTGCTTATTTCTGTGTCCCTAGAGCTTAGCCCTGTCCAGACCCACACCCAATAAATCTGTCTGTTGAGTAAGTGAGTCCTTACAAGGAAGTGGGCCAAGCAGGAGGAGGAGGAGGGACCGAGAAGACAGGCATGCCGGCTCCAGGCCACAGAGGGAGCCAGGGGGCAGAAAGCACTGATGCTCCTAGGACGAACTGGCCCAGACTGACCAAGCCAGAGCCCGAGAGCTGTGGGCAGAGGACAGGAAGCAGAACATGTTCTACAGCTCTGAGAGCCGCAGCAAAGGACCAGGCTTAGTGCTGGGTAGCAGCAAGTAAGAAAACAAAGGCGAGTAACAAAGACCCTGGCAGGGGCAGGGAGGCGGAGCAAGGGAGCAGCGCGGTCCCAGTACTGTTCTCAAGCTCCCTGAACCCCCGTTAAGAGTCACTGAAACAGTGATTCCTTCCTGGGCTATTTCATTACTGTTACCTGGTAGAAAACTAACGGGATGACACACATTTGAGTTAGTCTTTCATTCCTGAAAAGCTTTAGTGATTTATCCAAATAAGCAATTCTATGAAACCGTAAAAAACAAAGTTCTAACCCAAAGGCGAGACAAGGCAGAATCAACATGATGGGTAAGGCCTGTTTCACATTTAGAACTTTCGGAGGAATAGAGGTGGAAGAGCTTGGGTTAATACACATGAAACAAAATTAACTATATACCACCAGTCACAGGGTGTGGCAGTCCTCTCTCCAACCAGAACAAGCTACGAAGGTAGTTTGTGTTCAAGAACACCACAGGGGATTACGGAAGTTTCTCCTCTTTGGGGGAAACCTGCGTAAGGCTTTGCGACAGCCACGGTCACTCTGCTGGTGCTGCCTGTTAACAGCTGCTGGTTTTCCATGATCTTTCCTTTAGTCTGTAGCAAACTGCAGCTGAGGCCAGAGTCAGGCCACGCGCTGTCTACGGACAAAGCCAATTCACGCTCATCCCTCTTGTGCTGGTCTGCATGACTGCAGACGCATCTGTGCCAGCGTGTATGCCAGAGAGGTGTAGCTGCCGAGACAGTCGGGAGATGGCTTCTGTAAGGCCCTGAGGGTTTACGTGCAGAAGGTCTGGCAGTGTCTTCCGTACAATTTAGTGTCGCCATATTTCTGAAGGAGTTCTTGGGCCTGTTGCTGCAGGTCCTGGGGCACAGAGCCAGGACACTGGGACCTGATGTGAAGCAGGACGAGGCAGCATTCCAGCACATCCGGGAAGGGCCAGGTCTGAAAAATGAGATGAGGATGAAGACAGAGCATGTCCAAGGAGCCTGCCAGGAGCACAGGGGGCACCACATCTCTGCCATGTGGACAGCATGCAGGCTCCAGCGCCTTTTCCCTCACGCTCACCCAGCACTGAGGAGCTGGTACTCAGAACCGGGCTGGTCACGGGCATGTCCTTGACACACAGCGTCCTTTTCTAGTGTACTACTTTAAAAATTCTGTTGCCCTTACCGTGAAGGCCATAGCCAAATGGACCTGCCTCCCCCTAGGTTGCCAAATGCATGTACCTCTGAGGTTTACTTCCCTCCAACTCCTAAGTCTGCTTGCCTTCTTGGAAGGCTGAGGTATCAGACCACTTGTGTGGTCCACAGCTGTACTTGTCTCCACAATGAGCTGGGTCTCAGTCCCCAACACTTTCTGAGACAAGTTGTGGAGGCTGGGCCTGAACTCGTAATTCTTCTGCTTGCCGCCCAGTGCTGGGGTTACAAGTGTGTGTCACTTTGCCTGCCTAAAAATCTGCTTTCAGGAAATATTCTGGCTAATAAAAGGTAAATGCATCCTAATTTTCTTCCCAATACTGGTGATGAACTCAAGGCCTTTGGGCTGAGCTCTGTCCAGCCTTTTTGTTTTGAACCAAGGTCTTGCTGAGCTGCTAAGCTGTCCAGGCTGGGCTCAAACTCTTGCTTAGAGCCCCACCTCCTAGAATGCTGGATTAAAGAAAGGTACCACCAGGCCTGGCCTATATCCTAAAAATGTAAGCATATTTAAGTAGTTACACTTTAGAAACTGAATAGAAAGTAAATAACCTTTAAGAATCTGGTTAATTCACATGACAACAGGAAACAGTAATGTTTTACCAAATGAACTGCTTTATAAATCTTACCTTGATTCTTTCAGGGAACTTAGCAATTCTTTGATTCGCCTCCGTAAGCCTTCTGGTTAATTCTGGCAGAGAAACTGGCTCATTTTCTCCTTTGCTGTTACTAGTAATGAAAAGTACCAAGTCATGTATCTTGCCTTGAATAATATGCTCCCCAATTATATTTATTGTGAGAAAATACTAACATAAATTTCACTGCCATAACTACAGTTAACTACACTTCAGTGGTATTAAGTAACTTCTCCATGTTAGGCAACTATACTTATCCAGAACACTTTTCATCTTGGAAAACTGAAATTCTACACCTGTTAAACAGTAATCCTCCATGCTCTGCCTCTGGCAACCACTGCCGCACTGTCACAGGAACCACACTACATAATTTATCTGTCACTAGCTTATATCATGCAGCACAATGTCCTCATGGTTCGGCCACTTGTCAGATTCCTTCCCTTTTAAGGTGCAGTAACACTCCACTGCCTCCCCAGGACACAACTGCTTGTCCCCTCCCATCAGGGCACACTTGGCTTGCTTCCCTGTCAGCTGCCATGAACACGGCCGTGCAGGGGTCTCTGAGACCCTGTGCTCAGTTCTTCGGGGTCTCTGTCTTGAAGCGAAGCCCTCCCAGCACCTCATAGTACTTCTCCTTTGATTTTGTGAGGAACTGCATCACGTTTTCCACATGGCTGTCCCGTCTTACACTCCCATCGGTGGTGCACAAAGGTTTTGGTTTTTCCATTCATATCAATACTTGCTACGTTCCGGATTTTTAAATAAAAGTCATCCTGATGGCATAAGGTGGGGTTTTACTGCAGTTTTCACTAGCAGTTCCCTAATGGTTAGTGAAGCTGAGTGTCTCCATGTGTTTGCTGGCCAAGTGCTTATTGGCTATTTGTCTGTATTTCTGGAGAACTATCTATTTATCCCTGGTACTGCAACTGCCCCCCCAAAACAAAACAACAAAAAACCATAAATCAAAACAAACAAACAACAACAAAAAGGAATCAAGAGAAGGCAATGTGAGGTGATATAAATTTTTCAAAACGTAGTTCCTTGCCATTCTTCAAATCTTTCAGACTAGAGTGCCAGTGAAAATTTAGGACATTTAGGTCAAGTATGGAAGGCCTAGGTCTCTCTGGGGAATGGTTAGACTGAGCCAGGGCTCCTACCCACAGGGGGGTAGACACATTTTCCGGGCAGAATGTCTGTGCCCCAGAGAAGCACTGTGACTGAAGACTAAGAGCCAGTGGGCTAGTTACAGCTTGAGGCAAACCTAAAGCTGCCTAGAATGACTTCAAATCTCTGAATTGTGAATTTTAAATGAGGTGTTGATGATTTAAAATGAAGACTTCAGGCCCGTGAGATAGATTAATGGGTTAAGCACCTGCAGGGGCTGGGCTTCAATCCCCAGCACCGTATGCTGTGCCAGCCTTGCCCGTGGGTGCGCTGAGCTGGCCACGGCCAGCGTGGTGGCACACCCTGTAATCCCAGTGCTGGGGAGGCTGAAGACAGGAGGATCACTACGAGTCTGAGCTGCATAGTGAGACCCTGTACCAATTACATAATAAATAAATACTTCAAGGATTCTTAGTTTTAATTTCTTAAAAATAGTAATAATAACAGCTGTGGGCTTACTGATGAGCTGCTATTTCATAGGCTCTGTACTAGGGGACATAATCACGGCAGCAGTTGCTCAGAATAACAACTATGCAGTGATTGGGGCTGGTGAGATGGCTCAGTGGTCTCAAGCACCTACTTTGAACAAGCTTAGCAAAGCACAGGCACCGCGGTTCAATCCCCAGCACCACATGCCAGCCAGCCGCGACCCCTGGTGGGCTGAGCTGGACACACACACACACACACACACACACACACACACACACAAATAAAATTAAAAAAAAACAAAAAACAAAAAACTATGCAGTGATCAATCGCTGCACAGCTCCTAGCATACAAATCCAGCTGCACAGTGGTGACTGGCTCCTGCCCACACCGCGCACCGTTTCCAAGGGAAACCATTGGGAAGCGATAGCCTTCACTCCTTGGGAGTTTTCTCAGTTCACTGTGTAATTTTAAAAACACACACTTGTTTAGTGTGTTTTTGAAATAATATAGTGTAAATAATAAAGTGTTTTTCCTGAAAGATGCAATAATGCAACATCACCCTTTATGGGACTGGTTATCTGGGGACTCTGTTAGCACCTAACCGTAGGATTTAGTACTGCACCACTGCTGAGAGGTGGGGTTCTGTTTTGTTCTCAAAACCACCAAGGTAGAAGTTGGTATCTGACGACAAAGGTAAAGCTTAGAGACACAAGAGACTTGCCTGGAGTCACTTGGCAAGGCCAACAGTATTACTTAATCTGACTCCAAGTCCCCCAAATCTGTGCCTTCGTTTCCAAGGGCAGCAGGTGCTTCTCTGGACAAATTACAGAGCACCCAGCTGGTCTCCCTACTCCTGCTGGGACGAGACTGTGCACCTACCACTGGCTCTCAGGACCGGTCTCCTGCTCGGGTTCGCTCTTGCTGGGCCCACTGGCCGTTGACGTACACAGCAGGCTCTTCTGGTGCTGGTGGATCATTTCCGCCAGCGTCTCCTGGACTCGAGCTGCAGTCCTCTGTGCATTCTGGAGGCTGGCGTGCGGCTCTGAGAAGAGCCCCTGGCAGGTGCTTAGCACCCGCATGCTCTCCTCTGAGAGTCTCTCGCTGGGCTCTGTGGCGCCACAGCGCATCTCCTCAGCACTGGCCTTGTCCCTGTCCACCTGCTGGCTCTGCCCAGCCGCCAGTGTCTTCTGGTGTTCAGCCCTGACCCAGATGCTTGGCTCGGAGCCAGGTCCGGAGAGCGACCACCAGACCTCATACAGACGCCCATACATGCAAAAGGCCTCCACACTTCTGAGAGCTGCTGCCGCCGAGGACTGATGGTCACCCAGTTTGTCTCGTAGGTGGCCACAGCCTACAAGAAAAAGAAAAAGGTTGTATACTCTCTCTGGGGTCATATACTTCTTTTGTCTGCCAGAAATGTGGCTTTCTGCCACATCTCAGTACCTGTTGCCCGAGAGGCACCCGAGAAACAGGCTGGCAGGACACTTGGCACCACAGATGTTGGTCCTAAACCAATTAGAGGGAAGTGTTTCCTGGTGTGGGGTGATGGTGTCACTGCTGTGCACAGGCTAGGGCTCACTCAGAGCAAGCAGAAAGAGTGCTCCCTTTCTCCCAGGGCCAGGCGAGGTACAATCCCACTGTAACCCTGAACACCATGAGGGTTTGGGGCAGTGACAAATTATGCAGGTCTAATAATGTTTTGGTATGTGCCTCTCTGATCGTATGTCATCATTTCTCTCTCTTACACTGTGTGTGGAAAGTGGGCAGGAGGCAGAGAGGCAGGCAGCTCTGGGTGAAGGCAAACGGTGCAGACATTCCGGCTGCCTCTTTCTTTGGGCTTGAGACAGGGTCTTCCTATGCAGCCCAGGCTGGCCTTGACATCACGGTGTGTGGGCCACGCCTGACAATGCCTATCTAAGAGCTGGAGTGAGGATTCCAGCTACTGTAATGACAACTGGGTCAGCCTGTCTTTTCACTAGCCTGGTGTTCCTGGTGCCACACCGGTGGCTCCTGGTGGAGAGCTGCTCGATGGCGGGAACAGACATGAGCCACTCACCGTCGGGGAGGAAGGCCGAGCACACTCCTTGCATGATGGTGAAGTTCCCTGAATCGTAGCTCCGCATCACCGCCCGAAGCAGCGCCTGCACAGCCTCATCCCAGGAGGCTGCCTCTTGGTTCAGCACTGCCAAGGTCAGGTCATGACAGATGTGAAGCAGGAGCTAGAGCAAGGGTGGGGCTTTCAGTACAACATCTCGCAGGGCACCACCCTCCTCCCGGAGCTGCCCTGGAAATGGTGCTCAGCTCCTGATCCTCAAAGCCCTTCTGTCCCCACCCTGCTTCCTCAGGAGCAGCTCTCTGGCCAGGGGCACAGCAGCACGCACGAGACAGTGCCCTGGTGTTTGCCTTTGATGAAAACGAAATTTCTAGAATGAAAAGCTGTAATGCAAAGTCAACAAAGCCACCAGAATAATTAAGATAGAAATCCATCAGTTTTAGATGTACAGGTTCAAGAACACTGACCAACACATACAGCAGTGTAACTACCACCAGAACCAAGACAGATGGACGTTTCTGCCACCCAGAACCGTTCCACGCATGACCCTCCTTCGTGGACAATCAGTTCATTCCAGCCTCTGAAAACACTGACCTGAGTTTTACTGCTTTTATTTTTCTAGACCTTAGATAAAGCCACAGAGTGCTGTAGTCTTTTGTGTCCTGGAACCTTTATTTGGGATGTTTCTGAAACTCATTGAGGTCTGTATACTAGAAATGTGTTCTTTTTTACTGCTGCACTGTGTAGCATTTAGTGTTCTGAGTGTACCCCGGCTGCACAGCCACGGCCAGGTGGCCTCTAGCTTCTGGCTGCTGTGGAGTACGCTGTACCACGTGTTTGGGTGCAAGGCCGTGTGCGGAGGCTGGCTCCTTGTGGCCAAGTATCTGGACAGCGGGGTGGCCAGGGCAGGTCTTTATACACTGACCTTTAGAGAAACAGCCTGTTTCGATTTGAGGGAGTCTTACTCCGCATAAATAAAACAATATTTCTTTATTTTAAAAATAAAATGCAGATAAACTGAGATATAGTCACAAATGGTTAGGCCAGTTAAATCAACTTGATCTCTTTGTATCAACATGCGCAATTTTACAAAAAAAGCTACTGAAATAAGCTGCAAAATAATACGAGATAATATGATGACACAAAATAACATGGAGAAACAAGAGCTACCTTTAGAGAGCCAGGCGAGGATATCGGGCTGAGGAAGGGAACTAAGGACTTCAACTTTATTGTAGTATTATTTTTTAAACTCTTTTATTTATTTTCAGAATCTCACTGTGCAGCTCAGACTGGTAGTGATCCTCCTATCTCAGCCTCCCCAGTGCTGGGATTACAAGTGTGCACCACACCTGGTTTCGGTGGCTGGCTTGGCTCAGGGCTGGCATGGCATGTGGTACTAGGGATCGAACTTGGGTCCTTATGCTTGCCAGGTAGGCACTTAGACTGCTGAGCCCCTATTGTATTATTTTATTTTTATTTATTTATTTTTTTTGGCAGAACCGGTGATTGAACTCAGGCCCTTGCGCTTGCCAGGGAAGCGCTTATTCCACTGAGCCATCTCCCTGGCCCCCTATTGTATTATTTTAAACCAAACAGAAAATCTCACATGAATATATAAAACAAAATCCTAGGAAGTAAAAATTACTCAAGAAAAAAGTGTGAATATTTGTTAATTCTAGTTATGGGCATGGTTGTACACCCCTGTAATCCCAGTACTTGGGAGGCTGAGGCAGGAGGACTGCTGTGAGTTTCAGAGGCCAGCCTGGGCTACATAGTGAGACTGTCTCAAAATAAAAGAGAGAAAGAGAGAGATGGAGACAGAGACAGACACAGATAGACAGACAGAGACAGAGAGAGACAGAGACAGACAGACTGACTACTGATGTAGAATCTCAATTTCTGTTTGGGTACTGGGATCAAAGTGGGGATCTTGCACTTGCCAGGCAGGTGCTTATGGCGCTGAAGTATGTTCCCTGCCTTTGACCTAAGACCTCAAATCTAAAGTGTTTTACTCCAAAGGGATCTTTCCCAGGGTGCACTGGCCTGCCTTAGTCTTAAAAGTAAACTATTCTATAGGTTTTCCTGGCTCACCGACACGGATGGGCGTGGAAGGCCAGTGCAGACGGTACCTGTTTGGAGGGCGTGTTGTTTGTAGCAGACGGGTACTTAATGTCCTGCAGTCTCTGCAAGGCTGCCCGACACTGCCCTGGGCTGTCCAGGCCGAAGGCGCTCTTCCACACTGAGGTCACTCGCTGCACGAAGGGCCCCTCGGTGTCCGTGGCCCATGTGTGGTAGGAGCCGCCTGCGGCTTCTGGAAGCTGCTTCTCCTCCAGATGCCGGCACAGGAGCTCAAGGAGGCAAAACACCAACCTCTGGCCCTGGGACCCATCAACAAAGAGAACACACTTGTTATGCGTGAAGTTCCCCTAGTCCTCCCTTCAGCATTCCCCTTCACACTGGACACAACCACGCCCCCTCACTGGGGGCTGCCTGCAAAGCTGTCACATGGGAAAAGGGGGCAGCACCTGACCTCTCCTTTAGGTGCCTTTTGGGAAAATTCTACCTTTGGGTCCTTGAAGCGAAGAAACTTAAAATTATTGTTTTCATATTATTTTTTTATGTCTATCTGTATCTATCATCTGTCTGTCCACGGGACTAAACCAGGCCAGGGTCTTTGCAGTGAGCTATATTAATAGCCCTTTCATATTTTTTTAAGTTATAAGACAGTATCTTGCTAAGTTGTCCAGCCAGGCAAGACTTTAGTGACCCTCCTGCCTCAGCCTCCCAGATTCCTGGGATTTTAAGTGCATGTTACTGTGTTGGGGCTAAGGAACAATTTTTTTTTTTTTTTTTGGTGGAACTGGGGATTGAACTCAGGCCCTTGTGCTTGTCAGGGAAGCGCTTATTCCACTGAGCCATCTCCCCAGAGCAGGAACAATTTTTGTAACATGGAACTCCCAACTGGAGCCCCACTCGTACAGTTTAAGGCATACATAGGTAAGCTCCGTAGGAGTGGTGACCCAGCTGGAGAAAAGACGAGCTGGGTTCTCACCACACTCACCCTCCCTGTCCCAGCGCCAGGCGAGGAGCAGAGGTTAAGAGTAATAGAGCAAGGGGCCAGGGCCATCAGCTTTCTGATCCGAGGGCCGGGCAGGCCTAAGTGCCTGTCCGAGTGTGCGTGGTGGGGATCAGCCGGAGGAGACAAAAGCAGCGAACAGCTCTGGGACGTATTTCTGCTGGTTTTGTAGTTGTCCCAAGTCTGGGTGTAGCCCTATGGTAATACTTTCTTAGCTTATAAAGGTCTGTTCCATACAGCGAGAGAAGCCCCATTAGAGCATTCAGGTTCTAATAGCTTACAGGTCTTGTTTTTTGGTTTTGTTAAAGATGCTGTTTTGGAGATAAAAATGAAATGCTAAACAATCACTCTGGAAGCATTCTTTTTTTTTTAAATTGTAGATAAGATCAAGGCCAAGGGCTGGTGAGATGGCTCAGTGGTCTAAAGCACCTACTTAGAACAAGCTTAGCAAAGCACAGGGACCGCGGTTCAATCCTCCAGCACTACATGCCAGTCAGCCCCGCCCCCTGGTGGGCTGAGCTGGCCACACACACACACAAATAAATAAATAAATAAATAAATAATTAATTAAAAAAAAATCAAGGCCAGCCTCGGCTAGATATTGAGCTTAAGGCCAGGCTGAACTACATGGCAAGACCTTGTCTCAAAACAAGGAAAAAAACCCAAAAAACAAGAAACAAGGAATATACTCAGTGGCGCCATCTCCTAGCATGTACTATTTTGTGTCCATTTATTTTATTTTTTTGGTGGAACCAGGGATTGAACTTAGGCCCTTGTGCTTGCCAGGCAAGCGTTTATTCTACTGAGCCATCTCCCGGGCCCCTTGTGTCCATTTTTTAAATACACTGTTTCCAGAAAGCTGCTCCCTGCCTAGCATCTTCCAGGGGCTCCGAACACTCAGCTAGGATCGTTTGCAGGGCAGCGCTCACATTGGGGCAAGAGGAAATTAAGAAGCTCACATTAGTACCTGACAAGCACAGGCAGCTAAAATGAGCCAAATGTGTCCTTGCTTTGCAAACTGGAGTGGCTCTGCTTTCTGAGGTGCTAAAAAGGCAGCAATCATCGTTATGATTTTGTGTGTGGTGCTGGGGACAGAACCCATGGCCTTATGCATGCTAACCAAGCACTTTGCCCCTGGCCCAGTTACTTGTTTTCAGCCAGATCTGGCTAAAAGCCCATTCTAGGCAGACTAGAGGCTGTCCAGATACTCTGTACAAGGCAGTAAGTGATGGAGTAGGAGAATGACCATGCTGTCTCACAGGCCCTTGTGGCAATGACAAGCCCTGGGCTGCAGTGTGACAGCCTGGCCAGGGCAGCCACACACTTCTGAGGACACTTCCCAGGCCAACACAGTGCAACTGGGGCTGTCCACTGGGCTTGCCCAGAAAGGACTTGGGACCCCATTCTGCAGCTGGAAGGAGACGTAATGGACTGACCTGGAGACTCTTGTGCAGCTGCAAGGCCTCCTGGGCGCCCACCCAGTTCTTGGTGGGCAGCAGCTCCTGGGCACACCTGAGAGCCAGAAGGGCGGCCAACTCGTTCTCGCCCGAGATCACAGCCAGCTCTGCGGCTGTCCTCAATGACGCTGTGTCCCCCTTTTTTGCCAAAACTTTGGCTGCATCAAAAGGAGAAGTGGCCCCTAAATAGCTGCAATATAAAGAGAAACTCAATACTGCATCATAAACAGATGTGCTAATTTTCTTTTGTGGAACCAGGGATTGAACTCAGGTCCTTGTGCTTGCCAGGGAAGCGCTTATTCCACTGAGCCATCTCCCCGGCCCCCAGATGTGCTATTCCCAGATAGTGGAAGCACTTTTCTTTTTAAAAAAGCTTTTTTAGAAAAAGAAAAGGGCTGTTCATGTGACTTACTGCCTGCCTGGCACGTGTGAGGTTCTGAGTTAAATTCCCAGTACAAAAAAGAAAAAAAACCCTTTACTGTCAGGCATGGTGCTATACGCCTGTAATCCCAGCACTTGGATTACTGCAAGTTTGAGGCCAGCCTGGGCTACATATTGAGGCCCTGTTTCAAAACACCACCACCACCACCACCACCACCACCACCACCACCACCACCACCACCAAAATCAAAACCCCCCGAAGCAAACACTTTACTCAGGTATATTTTACAAGTTACAAAATTCTCTCTAGTCAGATACTACATATACACTAACTTCTCAGTAAATTTACTGGGTAGTGCGCCACCACCGTGAATCAGTTTCAGAATCTTTTAATCATCCAGTAGGGTTCTCCCTGCTCCTTTTGTCCGTTCTCACCAGCCGCAGGAAACAATTCTTCTCTCTACAGATTTGCCCATTTCGTACATAAAGGACTCTTGCAGTCCTGGGCTCTGGCTTCCCAGGGCTTCTACAGTTGATCCCCATAGCAGCAGGAGGCGGCAGAGAGCCACTTCCGCCCTCTGTAGGTGCCTGGGCTGCCAGGCATCCCAAAGCCTGTCTGTCCCTGAACTGGCCGAGGTCAGCACAGCTCGGCACAGCGAATGAGGCAACAGTGCCCAGGTTAAGGAAAGAAAGGAGCCCCAGCGTGGCCTGCACTGAACTCAGGCTCTTGAGGCTGTTACACTTCACTATACAAAAGGAGTAATTTCTGGGTCTTCTCTGATCCTGTGGTGATGGCGATTCACATGAGTACCAAGGAGACCCCAGGCCTTCCTATGGAGCTGGCCTTAGCACAGCTTCTGAATTTGCTAGTTGCTTTACCTGGACTTCTAACTTGGTCCTTTCTCCCTCTGGACCCACTTCCCTTCATCCTCTCCTGTGTGTGGCCCCGTGGTCCCCTGGGCCTTACCATTTGGCTGCCACAGCGTAGTGGCCGTCTCTTTCCAGGACAGCTCCCCAGCTGAGGTACAGGTCCTTCAGTACAGGGTCCTCGGGGCGCAGTCGGGCCTTGGCTACTGCAATAGCTTCTCTAAAGGCAAGAACAGACAGTGGAGCTGCTCTGGAAAGGTTTCTCTAGAAGAGGCTTGAGCAAGGGCTCCAGGGCCGGACGGTGTTTCCTTCTGGGTTGACTACACTGCTCCGATTTTGCGTAAAGCTGGACCCTTCCGTTACCAGCCAAGTGGAAAACATGAGCCCCTTGATTCTTCCTCAGCTCAACGCTTCTTTTTTTTTTTCCCAACAATTCTTAAAGTGAGCCCTGTGTGTTCCTGGGGATCCAAGACCCTTTAGGGGTTCACAAGATCAAGCTAACACTTGGGGATTACTTGCACTTTAAAACCTGCACACTTGCACTGACTATGCAAAGGCCACGGTGGGCAAAAGCTCCGGCATGTGGCAAGAATCAGAAGGTGGCCCTCACCCTCACCAGAGGTGAATGCCTGAAGAGGCAGTGGAGGTCACACGTTTTGGTCACTTAAGTTAGCACTTTAAGATGGCGCCTGACCAAGTGGGAAGAACATTTATTTATGTGCTCTGTTATATCCCAAACAATAATGGTCTGTCTCTAGTTTGTATGAGTGAACTGTAAACTGAGCTGCGGCTTGCTTCATGGAACCCCGTTCTGTGTTTAAAGAGACTAACAAGTTACTTGGTGCTAGGTATCTGGGAGATGGTTTCTCAACATTGAGCAAAGCAAACCTAGGACTTCACAGAAAACAACCACCGGTATATGTTGCTCATCATAAAATCTAAACTTTCTAGAGAAAATGTGAAATTTTAGAAACTTGTACTTGTCACCAGGAGGTTGACAGCTGCCCAAAAGTTAAAGTTTTCTCCAAATGTATTTTAGTACAGGGTCTTATAGGGTCTCACTATACAGATTGGACTTGCAGTGATTCTCTTGTTTTCAGCCTCCAAGCACTGGGATTACAGGCGCCTGCCACCATGCCCAGTTTCAATCCCGGCTCAGTGTGCCCTGGGGACAGAGCTAGCACAGCACACAAGGGATCACACCCTGGTTGGCTGCTATGCCTGCCTTTAGCAGGCGTTTTAGTGTGCTGAGCTATCTGCCAGGCCCCTTTTCCCCCTATGCATTTGGTACAGGGTCTTGCTGCTCAGCTCGGACTCCAGTGATCCTATTTTCAGTCTCCCCAGTACTGGGATTACAGGTGTGTGCCATCATACCAGGTGGTGGCTGGCTCAGCGCGCCTGAAGGTGGGGCTGGCACAGCACGTGATGCCGGGGATCACACCTGGGTCTGTGTGCTTGCCTAGGCAGGCGCTTAGACTGCTGAGCTATCTCCGCAGCCCAAAGATAACTTTTTTGATGAGACTGATGGCAATATTAAGGAACGTGATGGGGGAAGGTCATTTATAGTGAAATGTGTTGACATTTGGCAGAATGCAAAACTCTCAACTAGTATTTTCCAAATGGCACTGAACCTCTGTGTCACAGCCCCCACAGCTGGGGGTGGAATCGTAGTGACCTAAAGAGAAAGCAGGACCTAAGTTGTGTTTGGGGCTTCTAGCCATGTGGAGTATTGGGACTAGACTTATTCACATGCCATAAACATAAAAAATGGGAAAAAGTATACATGCAATCACTTCAGGCCCTGGGCGACAAGCAGTGCAGAGCCATCCGCTGATACAGGCAACGAGGGGTACAGGCCCCCTCTGTGGGAAGCAGCTTCCCCACGCACACCCTCCACAGAGCCCAGTGCTTGACGAGGCAGGACCCTAGAGGAAGCCACTGCCCAGAAAAGGCTGCCGCTCTGGCAGGGATCCTGAAGTCTCTTCTAAGTACCAAGCTTTGGATGCGTAGGAAACTCCTGCAGGCTGAACAGAGAACAACAAGGAAACTGCGAACTGAACAGTTCTCAGATCACTCCGTTTAGACACATCTGAGTTGTCATCTGGTGAAGACCCAAGGCATTCAAGACATCAGGAGGCAGGGAGTCAAATGAATTCTATGACACTAATTGCTCTAAACCTCCCCTAACAAAACTTAAAATAAGTCAAGAAACCAGGTGCGGTGGCATTTGCCTGCAGTCCCAGTTACTCAGGAGACTGAGGCAGGACGATCACAGGTTTCAGGCCAGTCTATGCAACTTAGCAATACTCTGCCTCAAATAAAAACCTTTAAAAAGTCAGGAGATATAGTTTATTGCAGAGGAGGCATGAGACTTCGGCTTCAAGCCCTAGTACCCCACCTCCCCACAAAGCCATGAAAAGATGAAGGCAATGCGCCAGTAAATTTAGTGCTCATCAAAACGAAGTTCAGCACTCTAGCAAGACAACAAACCCAAATAGCATAAACAAAAAATTGCATCATAGCCCATCATATCAAACTGCTGAAAGTCAGTGATAAAGTCTTATAAACAGGGAGAAAAATGCAGTTCCCATATAACAAAGATAAATGTAATGTTACAGCAGGGTGTGGCAGTGCACACCTGGAATCCCAGCACTCGGGAGGCTGAGGCAAGAGGATCGCTGTGAGGCCTAGGGCAGCCTGGGCTACAGTGAGTTCAAGATCAGCCTGAGCTGCACAGCAAGACCCTGTGTCAACAACAGATGAGCAAACAAAAAATGAAAACCAAGAGAAAACAGAGTATCTTTGAAGCGCTAAAGGACAAGTTCTATTCGAGAATTCTATACCCATAAAAGAATCCTTAAAAATGAAGGTAAAATTGAAGACTTTTTTATAGACAAATTTCAGGGACTTTGTTACCAGCAGATAGACTACACGCACAAAAAAAGCTCCTTAAGCAAAGAGACTGATAGGGATTAGAAACTTGGACTTACTGAAAAGATACGGATACTAGACATAAGTGGCCTAAAGTTGCAGTTAGATGCCGGAGACTGAGGCCGGATAACAGGACCCAGCTGCCTGCCGTCTATAGGAGCGTTCTCTTTCTGTTTTTCATTCTTTATACACTGTAGTGACATCAGCAGTTGTGTACAGGAAAGACGATGAGGGTGGGATGGGGAAGAGCATTTGGACTAAATCTGCAATGCTGTATCTTTCTTCAGCTAAGCAGGGGTGCCTGGAGAACTTCTGGGGTGGCTGGTCAGATTCCGCTTCTTAGGTGGGGCTTGAGGAGCTACCCTGAAGCCCCCACTGGTGTGCGGCTCCCTGTCTGTCTCCCTTTAGCCTATGGACTTGGGGTGACTCCAAGCCTGGCTGCACTCTGCGGCCACACGGACCTGTAGAAATGGTTGGCCCTCAGCAGCTCCACGGCTTCGTACACTTTATGGATGGACAGCAGATGAGAGGCAGCCTTGACATGCTGATCCTGGAAGCACAGCTGTTTGGCAAAGGCCTCCACGGCCCCCAGCCACACGTGGTAGCCCGCTAGAAAAGAAAGTGGCCGTTTAGAAAACCAACAGGTCTTGTGGGGGACAGAAGCAGGTTCACTCTAGCTTACAAGATCGTATTTCCAGAGTCACTGGGATAACCAGAGCCAACGGCCGTTAGCGATCATCGTCATCTCTCTCCCCACACACTCTGAAACATAAACTGTTTCCATGATTCTATCTCCTAAGTGCAAACTTCCCCAACACAAAAGGTGTGGGCGTCCAAGAGTCTATCCCTGGTGGAGGCTGGCACACAGTGAGTGCAACTCTCCATGCCAACGGTCACAGTAGGTACAGGCCTATTTTGGCCCTCAACACTGTCACTCCTCAGAGGGCAAGACAGAGTCGCATCTCAGGACATCTGGCTACATCTGGCTCTCACACAAATTCTTTTTTTTTTTTTAGCGGAACTGGGGATTGAACTCAGGCCGTTAAGCTTGCCACACAAGCGCTTATTCTCCTGACCTATCTCCCTAAACCCCTCACCCCAATTCTTAAGGTCAGACTGCACCTGTAGCCATTTGGCTCCTGCTGTCAGTGTCAACCTTGAGGATAGGACAAGGTCCTGCTCCGTTTCCCGCCTTTACCTCAGCTCTCCCTTGGCTTTGTTTGAATACGGGTGCTCCAGAAGTCTTGGTCTTAGCTCCTAGAGTTCTGAACTTGAGGGACCCTACAAACCATTAGTACATCTGTCTATATTTAATCCTTTTCTGTAAGCTTGTTCACAAGGTTGGGCGCCCCATCAGCCCCGGACAGTGTTGGACCCTATGGGGTGGGCCTGGGGAAGCTAATTAGGTCATAGGGACACCACACTGGGAAGGCATCATGGTGCTTTTGTGAAATGCTCATTCCTAAGAGACTGGGCAGCATAGAAAGAACAAGCCCTGGGCTGGGCGCACAGCTCAGCGGTGCAGTGTGCGCCTAACATGCACGGGGCTCAGGCCCCAGCGGGGAGGGAGCAAGTCTGGCCCACCCTGGTCTCTGGCCAGGACAGCACTGTGCTTAGGAACCTCTACCACTGTGAGCGGAGTAAAACCCCCTTCTGGGAAGCACCCGACGTGGGGGTCATCAGTTCTAGTGACACAACGCACTGATAGGCCACTGGGTATGCTTTCGCCACGAGTGTGCCAGTGCTCTGGCTTCCTGTCGGGTTTGGGTCTAACCAGACGGAAGTGATTTCAAGCTCAACAAGGCTAGTAGTGTTCTGAGCTGTCTGCGGTGGACGTACCCTCCTGGCAAGAGTACTGTGGTTGAGAAGAGCATACCCACTGGCGCCATGGCCACAAGGCTGTCCGTGAGCTCCCCGCGTTCTGCTGCGGTCTGCAGCACACCTTGTAGATCTCCTTTCCAAAGCATGAGCTGGTGAAATAACTCCGGATGACCATTGTCCAGATGACCTTTTCCTATGGGGAAGACAGCTAATGTTTAAAAGGCGTTTCAGAAAAATCTGTCTTCTGCTCCAACAGGGCAGAGGGAACAAGGTATTCCCTGAGGGGTGAGTCCCCTACCAGGGCGGTCACCTGTCCACCACCCACCCATCTCCACTTGCCCCTGCAGTCAGGGGGAACAGTGTGTATCTGGTGTCCTGTGACAATGTAAGAATGGACACAAACACGGAAGCCAGGAGCACACATGCACACACGGAAAGGAGCTGTGAGAGGCCCACAGCACGGCAGCCCCGGGGGAGGGCACACAACTGTCAGGAAGGAAGGAGATGGGTGGGACGGCGTGCGCTGCGGGCCTCACCTTCAGTCTCGATCATTTTGTATAGGGCGTCCCTGTCCGTGAAAAGCCCCAGGTGAAATCTTTCTTCAAGATCAACAGATGCATCTGCGTTGACCTCTTAATTTAAAATGAGAAAAAGCAAAACAAAACCCAAACGTCATCATTACATAGGTGACTGTTTTTGTCCAGTAACTTTTGAGCATACCATGGATGAACACTTCCAATACATGTGAACATCAGCTGCACGCCCTGTGTACCTCTGCTGCTTACCACGGCCACAAAATATGTATGCTGTTAGGAAGCTTAGCGTAAGCAGAGCCCAGTGACACAGCATAGACCCGTCTGGTTAAACACTAGACGGATTTGGGGAAAGAAACGTTAAAAAGGAACTGAAATTCCAACATGTATTTAAGTACTATAGATCAACAGACAAAACTAAAAAGAATGTTCTTCGTATTCACTGGGACCTACCAGAAAGAGATTCAGTGTTTATTTTCTGCTTTTAAAAGTCAGTTTGCTTTCTAAACACTTTTTATTAGTGGCTACGTGCAGTACATCATGGTTTTGTTCGTCATGGGGTGTTGGTGCGCACACATACACAACACCCTAATTCTCTGTCCTGTTTCCTTCCCTCCCGGCCACCTCTCCTTAACCAGAAGATCTGCCCTGTTGCCTCTAGCTTGTACCTACTTTATAGTTTAGGTTTCTTCTATAAGAAAAACTATGCCATACTTAAGCATGTGTGTCTGCTCTATTTCACTTAATATTATGGTCTTGAAGTGCATCAAGTGACTTAAGTTTTTTTTCTTTATGGCCGAGTAGTACTCTGCTGTGTATACAGATGCCACACTTTGTCCCCTCATAGGCTGACAGGCATATAGGCTACTTCAAGATGTAGCGACTGTGAGTTGTGCTGCAATAGATAAGCTCGGGTGTGCATGCGCCACTGCAGGATGACATCTTTAGCTCTTTGGAAAGATACTTAGAAAGGGACTAGCTGGGTGGAACCGGATTTCTAGTTTCAGTGTTTCGAGGCTCTCCACACTGATTTCCACAGTGGTTGCGCTAGATCACAGTCCCGCCAGCAATGGAGAGGGGCTCCTTCTTGCCTGCAGTCTCACCAGCACTTGGTGATTTGAATTTTTGCTGACAGCCATTCTTCCTGGAGTAAGACAGACTCTCAGTGTTGCTTTAATTTGCACATTTCTAGAAAGTTGATGAATTTTCAGTATATGAAATGAAGTAAAACCACAACATTAGTAGAACAGGATGTAAGAAGTCATGGCAAAGCTCTGGGAAAAAAATGGGTGAGGCAAGACCCAAGAAAGGCATATAAGATGCCCTGTAGGAACAAGTGGAAGACAGGGGTGTCAGTGGTGCAAAGATTTTTTTCCAAACAGTCTCGGTATGTTATTTAGGGTGTTCCTTGAACGCAGTGTGTAGTCCAGCCCAGGCTGGCCTTGAATGTGTGATCTTCCTGCCTCAACCTCCTGAGCATACTTTCTTTTCATACTGTTTGAATCTTATCCGATCACACAAATCCTTTTCATACAAGAAGTCACCACTAAAAACAAAGTGAACCCAATACCGAAGTGTGAGCATTAAGGAGCGCTTCGAAAAGCATAAAACCCCCAACCCTCCACAGACACTTCCGTAAGGCGCCATCACACTATGGGTACACTTACAATAAGGGAAAAAACATTCTTCCTACCTAAGAATACTGTCCCACAGGGAGAGCAGCCCTAGGGGGTCAGTGCATGCGGCCAGTGTACGAACCCTGCCTGCGCGCCTGGGAAGGCACACGCAGGGCCCTGCACTCCAGGGCAGTGCTGACAGTCAGAGTGGGGAGCCTGGCTCTAGGTGCGAGGTAGGGGTGAAGGTGGGGAGTGAAGGCTGGAAAACAATGCAGATGCAGACACAAAGCCCTGGCACCCACTGATTCATCTAATGATAGGCGCATGCCATATGCGCGAGTCCCTAGAAGCCGTGGACGGGCCCAGCCACGAGCGCTGTACCTGGGCGGTGTTTGGCAGTGGCCAGCACCAGACAGTCATGGTGAAGCTCCTCTTTGGACCTGTGGTCCAGGCTGGTGCTCAGAGGAAGCATGGAGCGGGCTTTTCTCTTCTTCATCAAGGCTTCTGAAACATGTGGAAAGTATTAGAAAACAGCAAGTCAGGAACGAGAGGGAAAAAGGACAGGTAGTGGGTAGTGACTTCCATGGCGCAGACACGCCTGCACACAAGCGCCTCCGCCCGCAAGAAGCCTTCCCACTGTGGTCCCAGGGCACGAACTGTGCTTCCAGTGCACCCGGCCAGCAGCCACAGAGAGCTGCCAGTGCCACGGGCAAGACCCACTGAAACAAGCCCACGCCCACTGAGGCTGCCGCGACTCGTCAGATCTCAGGCACGTGATCCGGCAGGGCGGCTCACGAAACCCTTCAGTTGCTGGCACTGACCTGGCTTCTCTTTGGGTGGCTCCTTTTTTAGTAAAGTGACTTTACTATTAAGAGGAGCTTTTGACTTCTCACAGCTTGATGAAGTTGGAATGCAGGAAACTGGTTCTCTAGGAGCTACACCATGGGGGTAAAGGAAGGAAAAAGTTAGGGATGAAGGCCAATGCAGAAGGAAGTTCTTAAAAATTAAGAGCTTTCCTGGGCCTGAGAAGTTCTGGAAGGGAGTGCGGTGGCGGGTCCCCTGTGCTGAAGCTGTCCGTGCAGTGCTCAGCTGTGCCTAAGCCACGGCACGCTCCTCCCTGCCCTCGGCCTCACGCTCAGGGCGAGGAGGCCCCTGCTCTGCTGAGGGGACAAGGCACATGTTCAGGTCACCAAGCACTAACTGCGTATTTATCTAAACAAGGAATAGCTGCACTAAAAGGGAGCATTAAATGGATGTGACACAGAGCCACAACTGGAAGCACAGAAACCTTTTATGTTTCTTTTAAACAAGCTGCTGGGCTACAGGGCTAAAGGCCATCTCTGTAGCCATTCTGTGAACCAAAGGTATGTTAAGTACGTGAGTGCAGAATTAAGCGCAATGGGCTTTTAGCTCTTTATTTACCAGAATTATAGGTCTAAGAGCATCCTTAGAGGTAGAGGGCTGGGGGTGCCACTGTCATATTTTGGCAATTTTAATTCTGTCATATTAAAATACTACTGTAGAATTAAAATAACAGCTTCTATTTATATGAATAAACCATCCCCCCCCCCCCCCCCCCGGAACCAGGGATTGAACTCAGGCCCTTGTGCTTGCCAGGGAAGCGCTTATTCCACTGAGCCATCTCCCTGGCCCCTAAACCATTCATTTTATAGGTAACAGGGCACCAAGTATTTACAAGAGCTGATTAATATAGATGATGAATGTTTATTTTCTATTATTTTGAGACAGGGTGGCACTATGGAGTTTAGGCTGGCCTTCAACTCACAGTAATCGCCCTGCGTCGGTCTCCTGCGTGCTAGGATTACAGGCACGCACCACCAGGCAGCTGAGGTCAGGCATTTGTAAGGGAAATAGTTTCTTTCAACAGACATGGCTGGTGACGTCCCAGTACTAAAACTGTCCACGTAAGAGCTATGCAGACCACCCTGGGTCCACTCTTTCCCACAGTCTTAGCCTGCTTTGCTTTTTCCATCCCAATCATCCCCAAGATTGTCAATGCTTCAAAGATATTTAGAGGCTAAATTCAGCTTTAAGGAAAACTACTGCTGTTTCTGAAGACACTAAAGATGATATGTACCTACATTAAGGTGCTGGGGAACTAAGCAAGTCAGAGACAGAAATTTTAAACCGAATAAGGCCCTCACGGAGTTTGGAGGTGAGGAGCAGCAAGTGGGTCCCTGCACCTACCCCCAGGGCCGTGCTCCCAGAGCACCTCCGGCAGCGGTGGCTGCGCCTCTGGCTCCTCCTCTTCCTCGCCCTCCGGGTCGGACACCCCATTCTCCACAGGCACCTCGTTCTCCTTTGTGTTCTCTTCTTCATGTCCCTCAAGTGGCTCTTGCTTTACAGGCATTTGTGAGGTGGGCTTTTTCTTCTTTTTAGGCTTTGGTTTAGGTTGAGAGAACCGTTTTTTCTCTAATTCAATACTTTTTTTGCCTACAAAAATCACAATAAAAAAGGAAAGATTGAGACTTTTGGGTAGAAGGGCCCCAGGTAGTCCTAGCACTGGGTGGCCATACCCCATCACAGTTCTCGTCTGGACCGCTTTCCCTTCTGCACACACCCACGACCTGGCCCTGAGCTACAACCCGTCCTTTCTCTTGTAAGCCAGGGTCTGCGCAGCCGCCACACCACCTATGCTGGCCTGTAGCTCTGCCTCACGGGTGCACTGCCACTTCCATCTAGTCCCAATGCATTGTCAGTGCTGTTTCTGTAATGTGGAACAAGCCTTTTAGGATTCCTCTCACTCATAAGATGTCCACTCACCCCAGTACCTCCATGTGCACGTCACAGACAAGGACATTCTCTAGCACCACAGTGGCACTGGCCGAGCCAGGACCCTAACGGGCCCTCGCTATTGCCTGCTAAAGCAGGACCAATGATTTTATAGCTAAGGGGATCGGCCAAGATCACACACTGCTCATGGCTGTCATGCCTCTGCTTCCTCCCCTTCAGCCCGCAGTTATCCCGGTCTTCCTCTGAACTTACGACTTGAGACTTGAAGTTTATGGCGGACTTATTCTGTCAAGTTTCACCTCAGTGTAAGTCTGCTTGATGCTTCCCTTACATTCAGTTGGTATATTTTCTTTGAGAGGGCTTTATTATGTAGTTCAGGCCAAGCTTGAACTATGTAGCCCAGGCTGGTCCTGAACTCCCAGTGGATCTTCCTGCCTCAGCCTTGTGAGTGCTGGGATGCAGGAGTGTGGCCTCACACCTTGCTAGGTTGTGCATTTTCAGCTAGAATACCCTGAAGTGATGCTGGCATGCCATGGTTTAGGCATTTACTTTCATCTCTATAGACTCTATCTTCTGCTTATTTTTAAACCACCATTATTTAGGTATTATTTAGTGTAATAAAATATAACCACCTTTTAATAGCTTGGTGAATTCTGATACAGTCACACAATTATCTTACCATCAACAGCACCAAGAATAAGAGAAAATATTCCTTTCACCAAAAGTTCCCTCAACCTGTCTGGGCAGTTAGCCCTGGGCCATCCCTGCCGCTACAGTGCAGTCTGGACTGTTCTAGACCCTGTGAAGACTCCGCAGTGCGCCGTCTATGCCTGGGTCCCAACTCTGTTGTGTGTATCCTTAGTTACGCTTCCTTTCTTTTGGGGCACAGGCCTTCAGCTCGCTAAGCATGCACTCTACCGCTGAGATACACCCACATCACTTCGTCACCAATGAACTGAACAAATTCCCCTGTGGAGAAATACACTGCAGCTGAGACACTGATTTGTTGGTAAGTGCTGGTGCTGTTTCTGGCTTTTGCTGACCACTGATAAAGCTGCTATGAGCATTCCTTCACATGTCTTTATATGGACATATGCTTTTGTTTCCTTTGGGTCATTTCTGATTTGTAACACACACTGTCTCATTTCCTACTTGCTTATGGCGGGTGGGCAAGCCTACTACCAGTTAATCTTTTAAAGTCAGAAACAGAACTCTCTCACAGCTTATTTTTCAAGTTCAAGTCATCCTAGCTTTGGTCAGTGGTATCTTCTCCAAGTTAGCTTCTGTGTCTTAGCCATGTCTCCTAAACTGTCCGAGGAGGCCGGTCCTTTCTGGCAGGAGCTGTGCTCCATTTCTCAAATGGTCCTTGCAGCCCAGACCCAGGCATGTGGTGGTCTCGGTATCACTGGGCTATGGCTGTCTCAGCTCCTGGCCACCTGTCTGAGGACACAGCAGACCCAGCCCTGATGTGCTGCCCTTATGGGCGGCTTCTTTGCTTGGCTCTGGGCCACACGGTGCCTGCGGGGAGAGGGGAATGAGGTGCATGGCTTCCGGCTCATGCTCCGACCAACCTTGGGGAGGCCGCGAGTGATCTTGTGCGGAGGGCAGCCATCTGTACACGCAGAAGTCATCTGCCCCTGAGTAGATGCACTCCGGGTCCAACGGGGACCACACCACACAGAGCAGCCGGCCTCGGTGTCCACGGAAATTGTGCAGAGGCTGCTCACGGAGGGTGTCCCACACCTGAAACCAAAAGCCACATGGTGGAAGAATTGCTGATTATTTTTCAGGAGGGTTTCAGGCACCCTGGGCTACCTAGTAAGTTCAAGAAGGGCCTGAACTACACAGTGAGACCCTGACTCAAAAAAACAAAACAAAAAAGGTCCAATTTCAGATAATACTGTTTTCTGTAGGTGTCCAAGCACACATAGGCATTCCTAGGGGATGATTTGCAGTGAATTATGGAGTATACTGTCCCAATCCAGAACCATGTTAGTATTCGGCCCAGGGGCTCTGTTACCATTAAGAAAACAGCCCATACTTAATTCGGAAATTAAGAGTTCTAATTTCTCACAGGTAATTAATTCTTTCGTCTCTGAAGTCCCCTGACAAATGACTACTTCCTTGGCCATTTCCTCAAGCATTCAGGGTCTGTCTCATGAAAGCAGCCTTCTTCACCGCTGCCAGCTCTGTGCAGCTATCTCAGTAACACCACCAGCAGCCCCACTCCTCACGGTGCCTGAGTCCCCCAGCTGCTATGGTCTGTGTGGCTCTATGTCCAGCACTTCTACTTCATAGCTCTGGCTTGGCATTTCGTCTTGATCCTTTGAAGGTGGAGATTGCTACTTACCAATTTGTTATTAAAAACTGTTTCTGTGATTAGTATTTCTGTGTTTGAACAAGAGAAAAATTTTCATAACTTATTCTACCATATGCTATGAAGTCAGAAAGAAAGTTGTAGAGATGTTACACTTTATTTATTTTTGTGTTTTTTTTTTTAGGGAAGGGTCTACAGGGTTTTCAGGGTCTCACTACTAGATTGGACTTGTAGTGATCCTCCTGTTTACAGCCTCCCAAGTGCTGGGATTACAGGCCTGTGCCACCACGCCTAGTCTCAATTGCTGTCTCAATGGGCTCTGGGGGCGGGGCCGGCATGTCAGGTCCAGGGATCAAACCCCTGCTCTGTGCCTGCTTGCAGGTGCTTTAATCCACTGAGCTATTTGGCTGGCCCGGAATGTTAGCTGGTGCCTGTTAATACTTTCCCTTTCATCTAAGTAAAAAACTGAAACTCAACCAGGTAAAAGAGCAGGTAAAACTAAAATGCCTGCTAGAGCTCAAGTAACGACTTTTTGTAGAAGGTTACTGGCAAAACAAACAGGTCTAGCGGCGGGGGACAGGAAAGTCTAAGAGTCTGCAGTGAAGGAGCCCCAGGGTCAAGTACACGCAGTACCTGGGCCGTCCCATCGTAGGAGGCAGACACCAGGATCCCATCATGATGGGGGCTCCACGCCAGGCAGGTGATCTTGGCTGTGTGTCCTGAGAGCGTGCGGAAGGGCTCAGTAATGGTCACTGGAGACTCAGGATCGCTCTCTAAAAGAAGGAGGACATCATCACTGCCAGCAACAACCACACACAAGACACAAACACATACCAGGAAGGCTCCACCTGACAGTCAATACTGGCTCAGAGCAGGGTGGTTCCCAGGGCAGCAGTGCTGTGTAGGGGCTAAGCAGTCAGGTGCCTGGACAGCCTGAGCCACAGGCTTATCTCTAGACACGGCAGCTCTCAGGCTTTCTTCCTAAGCCATGGGAACGCAAATCATACCTTCTGGGTGTGATAATAAGAAGCACAAGGCCTCAGCCGCTGACACGCTAGGTAAAAACGCCCAATCGGAAGCTGACCATGAGAAAGTATGTGGGCACAGCTACAAAACAACTGTTCTGCACTCACCAAATGTGATAAAATATTACAGCTTACTGAACCCCAGAGAGGGCAGGTGGCGGCCCTCTGTGCTATCCTTGCACTCTCTTCTAAGTGAGAGTGCATTATTTCAGGAAAAAGAAGGTAAAAACGGTAGGACACAGAGCCAGGCATGGCAATGCACGCCTCTGATCTCAGGCCTTCAAGGGCAGGAGGATCACCAGCCTCTGAGTGAATTCAAAGCCAGCATGAACTACACAGTGAGGCCCCATCTCAAGAAAACCCCCAAAATAAAAAAGCCAAAGAAGCAAATTAGAACCGAATGTGGTGGTGCATGCCTGTAATCTCGGCACTCAGGAGGCTGAGGCAGGAGGATCACTGGGATTTGGAGGCCACCCTGGACTGCATGGTGAGTTCAAGGCTAGCCTGAACTGCACACAAAAATTCACATTCATGAAGACATGTTCAATGTGATTCATAGTAATTATAGTGCTTAAGTTGTAAAATATAAATTTAAGTGTTAACTGGATAATCATGTTATATCCGTACAAGGGGATAAACAGGTGTATGGTGGTAGCAGTAATGTCCTTATACACTGACACATAAAGATATTATAACTCAGTATCTTTGAGTTACGAGAGAGCACCACACACGCTAGGCAAATGCTCTCTGGGACTATACTGTATTCTCACACCTGCAGCCGTCTCTTCTTTTTTTTTTGGCGGAACTGGTGGTTGAACGCAGGCCCTTGCGCGCGCCAGGCAAGCACTTACTCTCCTGCGCCATCTCCCCGGCCCCTCTCCTTTTAACTATACGCAGAAGACGTGCTCTCATACAAGTGCACAGGACTGCCAGCACCTGTGCACTTATTGTTACTGAGGGAGGGACATTTTCTGTTTTTTTTATCCCCCCCACCGGAAGCCTGGCGCTTAGCATCCTCAGCACTTTTTAAGTTTTGAGACAGAGAGGTCTTGCTGAGCTGTCACAGTTGTGATCCTCTGGCTGCGGCCTGTCCAGAGTGCTGCAACTACAGGCACGCACTAACCATGCCCGCCGGGAACTTCATCTTCTCAATTAGTATTTTCCTCATGTTTGAGAGAACTTTTAAGGAAGATGAACAGATTACTTTGGAAAGGGGAGAAAAAAATTAAAAAAATTCAACACCACAGATAAACGCATGCAAAGACCACAACGGAAAGCAGAGGAACACACAGTGGCAGCCCCAGAATGGAGGGTGCACAAGTCACCTAGCACGTCTTTCAGGTTGTGCACGTAGATGACGGCGTTGTTGGAGCCAGAGGCCAGCAGGTAGCTGAGCTCGGGCTGGCCACCGTGCTCGTGGTGCCAGCTCATGGTGTTGAGGAGCTTGTGGTGCTGCTGGATGGTGCACACCAGCTTCAGGCTGGGGGCCTGAAATACCTCTATTGATCTGCAAGGAGAGACAGCGAGACATGAAACCGTGTGACTCAACTGCAGTCCCACGCAGACACGCACGTCCTGCCTGCCGCGGCCGGGAAAGGCGAAGCGGGCGACACTGTCCCTCACTGAAGCCATCCTCTTGCAGCGAGGCAGGTGCAAGAGCTATTTTCTGAACTAAGTACATTTAGCTTTAAAACATTCCAACAATCTCTGGATAATGGTGTTTAGCAGGCATTAGTGATCACTGGGACTAGGGAGAAAGAGAAAGAAGCCTGACTTAGGCCTACGCTACTATGATTAGCACTGGGTAGGACACAGGAAGGCCAGAAAGAGCGTTCTGCTAGGGTGACAGTTAAGAAAATGGAGGCCCGGTAGTCTGATGTAGCGTGTGAGCCTTCTGTAAGGCACAAAAGAGCCAGACACTATCTCTGGACCAGAAACAACCAAGTAACCCTGTAGTCTTCATAGGTGGTGCATGCTCCTAGATCCACTGGGGACATGGAGGATAAATAAGAACATGGAACACAACAGGGCTTCCCAACTAACAGTACAGGTGGCATCGGCCAGCTTGTGATGAAAACTTATGTGCAACTACAATTTTTTCCTTTTTAAAGAACAAATGCATACCCATCTTCATTGCCAAGAGCCATGAATTTGCCATCTGCTTTCCAGCTGATCTCCGTGTGCACAGGCAGTTTGTACTAGAAAGCAAGACAAACCAGTGCTGACTGTAAACAATGCTCTTGTCTCCCCACACCTCACAAGTCCACGACAGCATGAGAAAAGTCTACTTACAGCAAAACCGTTTTTCACAACAAGCTTCACCACTAGTCAAAGAACTCTGAGAACAAGTATTCTAATTATGATTTCCTAAACAGGACCCCAGTGCACTTCTGGGGTGAGATCCCTGCTTTACTCAACGATCAAGTCTCCTAGGATACATGTTGAGGCCCCCAGATTGGCTCATACCCCTTTAACGGCACCTCAGAGGCGTGCCTTGGCAAATGGCTCTCGGTAAGAAAGACATTTAGTATGTAAGATCAGAAATGCAGGGGAACCCAAGAGGCGGCTTGAGACCCAAGAACTCACCTTGACTGCATTGGTGTCCCGGATGAGCTTGTTGATGTCAAAGGCCTCCCCGCTGAACTTCCAGGGATTATGCTGGAAGACAACCCCTTCCCCGCCACAGCTGTACAAAGTGAAGGAAGGCCTGTCTCCTTCTCCTTCTAGGTGAGATAAGAAAGTGAATCAGCTTTGCACTGTTACACACAGCTTATCTGCCATGACAGCACGTACCATAGCACAGGAATTATGAACGAAAAGGAACTGTACTTCTGAACCATTCAGGTGCCACGGAATACAGCCACGCTCCACCTGAACGCAGCCGCTGGGATGTGCAGAAGAGGTACACCAACCAGGGCGCTGCTCATTTCTATGATGTAATGCATCACTCTATGTATCCTGATACTTAAATTAGTAGTGGCACCAAAGCTGGGATCAGAAAGCAAACATGTTCTCTCTCTCTCTTTTTATTTTTTGGTGGAACTGGGGATTGAATTCAGGCCCTTGTAGCTTGCCAGGAAAGCGCTTATTCTGCTGAGCCATCTCCCCAACCCCGAACATGTTCTCAATCATTTAAGAAAGGGGCTGGGGGACAGCTCAGCAGCGTAAGTGCCTGCCTGGTAAGCGCCAGAACCCAGGTTTGATCCTGCTACCGCATGCCATGCCAGCCACTGAAACTGGGTATGGTGGCATGCACCGGTAATCACAGTGCTGGGAAGGCTGAGGCAGGAGGATCAGTGTAAGTCTGAGCTGCATAGTGAGACCTTTTACCAAATAAAAAAATAAAAGATTAAATTAAAAAATTAAGAGTGCCTGCTTAGGCAGACACAGGGGTTGGAGGGTCAATCCCCAGCCTGCCTTGCCAGTCCTGCCCCCAGGACGCCATGAGACTGGGCATGGTGGCGCGACCCTGTAATCCCAGCGCTTGGGAAGCTGAAAACAGGAGAATCATTACAAGTCCAATTTGTGTAGTGAGACTCTGTATTAAATAAAAATTAAAAAAAAAAAAAGAAGAAAATTAAGGAGGACCCATTACTTTGCCCAGAAAAATATGAAGATAAAAGCTGAGGGACTAGGAAAGGGAAAGGGCGGAATGTAGGGACCAAAGGCCAGGATCCAGCAGGACCTAATGATTACAGTGTACTATTTTAGCATGAAGGAAGAATTGTGCTATAAGTCTGGAGAGGTTTATACATTAATGGTTTCTCTTAGAAATTCCAGTTTATTACCTGTCACTGCCCAGAACACTTACGACTTTTTCCACCTTTTACATTCTAGGGCTACACAGAAAGCAAGGGAATACTACCACCACATTTGTAAGAGAATGGCAGAGAAACTTACCAAGTGACATGGGGGGTACTGGGGGCCCCCAAGCGAGTGTGTACACAGTCCTCTTATGGTATGTGCTCGAAATCTGTGGTGGTCTTCAGGGGAGGGGTGGAGAATAAATTTGAAGAAAATGTCAATAGTGGAAAATGGCACATCTTTTTCTAAGTCCTTAGTTGCTGATATTAGACAAAAAGAATCTAATAGTAATTTAACTTCTCCAAATAGTTGATAGTAAAAAAGCAACCACTCAAACAGAGCCATAATTTCTACTGCCTACACAACTACGCCCTGAACATGCTCTAGAGAAGCACTGCCATCTGCCTGGCCTGTACGGGGTCACGTTTCTCCTCTCCCTTCTCAACCGCCCACTTTAATTGTGTCCAGTAATCTAACATTACTGCAGTTAAAGGTGATCACAATTAGAGAAAAGTGGGCCACTTTTTCCATTTGTCAAGATAGAAAATGCAAACTTCATTCTAGAATTAAGGTTGTTGCTAAGCACACATCCTCACTATGCAAATGTTTTCACCTTAAGGTGAAAACAAAATTAGAAAGTTATGAAATTAGAAGTCATCTTAGACCTACTGTATGCCATGAACATCACCTTATTAAAATGTGACAAGATTTCAGGACAGACAGATTAAATGTTAAAGTTTTTCATTATCATTTTAAGGAAGCTCTTGAGTGTTTCTGAAGGTTAACTGGTTAATAGCTGAGCTAGAGGTAGAATTACTTATTTGCAGATATTGACAAATTGGCTGTGATCATTTTAGACAATGGACCAAAATCACTTTGGCTTACAGAAACAGAGAGTATTCTGGCTACATACCTGACAACAGGTGTACAGCAATATCCTTCCTCCTGATATAACTTTTCTAGAGCTATGTGAATACTCACTTATAATAAGAATCAGAGGGGGGATGGTGAGATGGCTCAGTGGTCTAAAGCACCTACTTAGAACAAGCTAAGCTAGGCAAAGCACAGGGACCACGGTTCAATCCCCAGCACCACATGCCAGCCGGCCCCGCCCCCTGGTGGGCTGAGCTGGCCACACACACACACACAAAATTAAAAAAAAAAAAAAGGTGCAGTGCAGATGGGCTCGTGCAGCAGTGGCTGGCGGGGGGTGGGTGGCGCCTTGTATACAGCAGCAGTGGAGTTCGGGCTCTGTGGGCTCTGGGATAGGACTTGTGCCTCATCACCCAGGCCAGAGTACAGAGGCTCCCCAGCCAGGGCACAGCTCATCAAGCCCTGGTCTAGCACAGCTGTGCACGAGGCAGCTTAGCTGCACGAGGCTCCTGGGTATGCAGAATGTGGCTCGTGGGACTGAGGAAGCTATTCTGTAGCTGTATGTAATTTTTTTTTTTTTTTTGGTCGGAACCAGGGATAATTGTTATTAAACAACCCTGTGGACAGATAACATGAGTCATAAGTACACTTTCTTGCAGTCACGTTTAAGTGTAAGAAACAAGAATGAGAACTAAGTATAAGAAACAAGTGGGGTGTAATATTCTATTTAACTGAGTATCTTAAATAATGACTTTAAGGGCCAGAGATAGCTCAGCAGATTAAGCACCTACTTAAGTAAGCATGGGGACTTTGGTTTGATCCCTGGCACCACATGCTGAGCCATCACCTAGTCTGGCTGTGGTGGTGCATGCCTGTAATGCCAGTGCCGGGGAGGCTGAAAATAGAAGGATCACTACGAGTCTGAGCTGCACAGTAAGACCCTGTACCAAATACATTAAAAAACAAAACAACAACAACAAAAAAAGTAAAAAAGGAACTATTTTAAATATAATTAAAATAATCATTTAAGACATTTTTCTGTTTTTTTTTGGTTAAGACTGGACCTTGCCTTGTAATTCAGGCTGGCCTTGCATTCCTGGCAGTCCTACGTCGGCCTTGCCAGTGCTGTGATTACAGGTATGCCCTAGCACCCCAGCTCATTTCCAGTTTAAAAAGATGCTCATGCATTTTATACTTACAGTACACAACAACTTGGGTTCAACCCTTCCTAGTGCTCAGTGGTTGCTGGTGTCTAAGAAGTACTGTAATAGGCAAGGGAGCTCAAGACATAACCTGAATTGATAGGAAATATATGGACTAGAAGAACAAATCAGAAGTCACTAGAAGGAAATAAAGAAGTCACTAAAGGGAAATCTACACACTCCACATTTAACAACTTGCCTGTTTGATGACCCTCTGGATTTAAGACTGAGGTGCCCTGTTCATGCTTATGACCCACTGCTCTGCCTTACAACAGGTCCTTTTTTTGGTACAGTTCTACACATCTCATTTATAGTTTCAGTATCCTTTTATTTTGGGGGAATATGTATACCTTGTCTATACAGCACTGTAATTTTTGCTGGTTGTACTGTATAGAATATAGTTTTCTATTATATAATACATTATAGTACTGCACATAAGATGTAAGAGTTGAGGAAATAGGTTGGCGAGATAGCTCAGTGGACTAAAGCACCTGCTTAGGCAAGGGCAGGGACCACAGTTCAATCCCTAGTACCACAAGTTGTTCCAGCCCTGCCCCCCAGGTCGGGCTGAGCTGGCCAGAGTATGGGTGTGGTGCCACATGCCTGTAATCCCAGCGCTGGGGCGGCTGAAAAGCAGGAGGATCACCATGAGTCTGAGCTGCATAGTGAGACCCCAAACAACAAAATATATTTAAAAATAGTTGAGGAAATAGAAGCAAAGCCGTCTAGCTGGAGTTTCAGCTGACCATTTCTTCGTTTTGAGTATTATTACGTACTTAGGATCTATGATTCCTCAGTGACCAATTCATTTAATGATCTAGTGAAGGAACTGAGCTGTTAAGCAAGAAATATCGGGCTGGCTGTGGTGGTGCATGCCTGTAATCCCAGCCCTCGGGAGGTTGAGGCAGGAAGATCATTGTGTTTTCAAGACCAGCCTGGGTAAAAAAAAAAAAACCAAAACCAGCCTGGGCTACATGGCCAGCCTGAACTGCATAGCAAGACCCTGTCTCAAAGACAAAAACAAAATAAAACGACAAAAAGAAAAAGACAAAAAGAAAAAAGGAATGTAACCAGAAAAGTGCAAGGTGTGGGGCCAGTCAGATAACTCAGTGGGTTAAAGCACCTGCTTAGGCAGGTACAGGGACCAGGTTTGATCCCCGGTGTGCCATACCATCACTACCCCCAGGGCTCACTGAGACTGTGATTGAGACTGAGCGTGGTGACATGCCCTTGTAATCCCAGTGCTTGGGAGGCTGAAAACAGGAGGATCACTCTGAGTCCGATATATGTAGTGAGACCCTGTACTAAATACTTAAAAATTTTTTTTTAAAAAATGCACAGTGTGGAGTTTATAAAACAATTTATCTAGAGTCATCAATTAGAAAAGGCAACATTATACAAAGGCAAGAAGTAGGCCAGTATTCCAGAGTAAAACTAAAGAAATGCGACAAAATCCATTGTATGAATCCTAGTGCAAATGAACTTGTAAAAAAACCTTAAGACTAACATTTCAGCTCAACTGGGGAAATATGCACATAATCTGATACATATGCACATGTATATGCATTCTCAACATGTATCTAATACACTTTATGAGAAAATTACATTATTGGTTTATATGAATATGATGAAGTTACTGTTAACTTCTTTTTTTTTTTGGTGGAATGGGGCTTGAACTTAGGCCCCTGTGCTTGCCAGGGAAGCACTTATTCCACTGAGCCATCTCCCTGGCCCCCCTGTTAATTTCATCACATATTGCTATACAGAAGAAAGTCCTTATTCTTAGAACTAAAAAGGAGGAGCACCCAATGAGACACACGCAGATTAAAATGTAAGGCAAAATGGAGGGCCGGCCAAATAGCTCAGTGGATTAAAGTGCCTGCAAACAGGCATAGGGGCCAGGGGTTCAATCCCTGGGCCTGTCGTGCTGATCCTGCCCCGGGGCACACTGAGACAGCAATTGAGACTGGACATGGTGGCGCACGCCTGTAATCCCAGCACTTGGGAGGCTGTAAACAGGAAGATCACTACTTGTCCAATCTAGTAGCGAAGCCCTGATCACCCTGTAGACCCTTCCCTAAAATACAGGAAAAAAAAAAAAAGCAAATAAGCAATAGAAGGTACATAGATGTTCTTTACACATGTCTTTCCTCTTTCATGTATGCTTAAAGACTTTTGTAAAAACAAAACCAAATGGTGTACATATCCAGTTCCTAAATATGATAGGTTGAATCACCACCACCTGAAAAGAAATTTTTAATTAAATTCTGAGTTCTTAACCTCAGTATTAGCACCAGAATTGTATTTTAAGAAAGCCTTAAATATTATTATTTTTATCTTTTAATGTATTTAATACAGGGTCTATAGGGTCTCAGTACACAGATAAGACTCATAGTGAGCCTCTTGTTTTCAGCCTCCCAAACGCTGGGATTACAGGGGTGTGCCACCATGCTCAGTCTCAATCTCTGTATCAGTGAGCCCTGGGGCGGGGCCTGCATGGCAGGTGGGGCCTGGGACTGAATCCTGTTCTGTGTCTGCCTAAGCAGGCGCTTTAATCTGCTGAGCTATCTGGCTGGTCCTACCTTAAATACTATTCCGATGTGCACTCAGGTTTATGAATCCAAAATGAAAATCTATCAAGGGCTGGCAAGATAGCTCAGGGAACTAAATGCTTTACTCAGGCAAGTGCAGGGCATGGGGTTTGATCCCTGTGCCATGTGGTCCTACCCTCAGCGTGCTGAGCCATCAGGCGTGGTGGTGCACACCTGTGATCCTAGTGCTGGGGAGACTGAAAACAGGAGGAGCACTAGAGTCCGAGCTGCGTAGTGAGACTCTGCATCAAATAAATTTAAAAAAAAAAAAAGATAAAAAGAAATCCATCACTGACAGTTTGGTCAGTGGGCTAAAGAAGAACTACACTTCTTACTTGTTGGAGAAGGTGTCGTACAATCCCACTTTTCCGTCATCAGTTCCAAAGGCCAAACAATGTTCTTTTTTTGGGTGCCAACAGAGCTACAATAAGAGTTCCAGATAAGAATTTATGAGAAAAAGGGCACACATTTAAGGGTATCCTAATATTAACACTTTTTTTTTTTTTTTGGGTAGTACTAGGGAATCAAACTCAGGACCTTGGGCTTGCCAGGCAGGGGCTTATGCTGCTGAGCTATCACCTGGCCCTTCCTTTTGTTAATCTTTGAATGTTCAAATGGAAAATTTTTTTATTATTTCTTTTTCATGATCTTACATATACACAGGAGAAAAAAAATGAGTTCAAACAGTTCAGTGATGTTCAATGATGCACTGAGAAATGGGGATAAAAGATTCCAGATCAGGCCAGAGAGCTAGCTCAGCAGTCTAAGCACCTGTCTGGCAAGCGCAATGACCTGTCTTCAATCCCTGGTAACATACGCCTTGCCAGCCCCATGCCAAGTGGCCACTGAAACCGGGCATGGTGGCGCATGCCTATAATCCCAGTGCTGGGGAGGCTGACACAGGAGGATTACTATAGATCCAAATACATTTTTAAAAAAATTAGAAAATGTAATTCTATTAATAATTAAAATTTGAACCAGGCATGGTGCACATGCTTGTAATCCTAGCACAGGAGAAGCTGAGGCAGGAGGACTCCTTGAACATTTGAGATCAGCCTGGGCTACAAAGCAAGCTCAAGGCCAGCCTGAACCGCATAGCCAGACCTCGACTCAAAAAGAAAAAAACCTTAAAATGTGTAAGTTTCTGGATTACACAAGTGGGGGTACTGGAGAGAGGGTGTGGCCCGAAAGATGACTGCTTTCTCTGACTCTGCAATGCTCCCTCTTTCTTTTTACATCACAAATGTTTACTACTTTTAGACTTACTGGCCACAATCGAGGTATCATTGGAGAGAAAACCAAAAGGTTATACATGGTTTCTAATCTGTATTCCATGTTTTGTTTCATTATTTGTACTTTTATTAACATTTTCAAGTGAAGAAATCTACGTTATCATTTTAAAAGATACTACTCCAATATGTGGTTTTTATACTCTAATGTCTTCTGCGAACACAGCAGCATATTTCTAATTTCTTATTATTAGATATTATGTACAAAGCCTTCATTTCAAACTCTGAATTTGGGGATGATTTGTTTGAACATCCTCTACTGTTGTAGTTTCAAATTTCACTGCTAATACCCTTAACCAACAGAGCTCGCCTAGATGAGCAGGTATCTCTACAAAATAAACATCTATTTGAAAACAATCTTAAAGCAGCAGCCTTACCGCTGTAACCTTGGACTTGACTCCCTGCCAAAAGTTTTTCACGTCATAGCTGTTCTTTCTGGATGATGTGTTCCATACCCGGATCATGCCATCACCAACACCGATGGCCAGGTAGCCTGTGTCCTCAGGGGAGAAGGCCAGGCTGTATGCAAAGCCACCAAGTGAAGGCAGGGTCCAGCAGCACTCCAGCGTGCTCATGTCCCAGCATTTCACCTGAAAAGATCAGGGATGGGGCCTCAATACAGAAAACCCCAGAGGGACAGGAAAAAGACCACAACATTTCAAATGGAGTGGCTCTAAAGAGTAGGTAGAATATCATAACTTCATGTTCTAGGAGGAATTAGAAAAGGCACCAGTCATAAATTACATATCTCACAGGGTCTTGCAGTGTGTTTATTCCCAGACATGTCCGAGGAATTCAGCATCACGCAGCTAATAACCCTGAAGCCACACTTCCACTTCCCAGTGTCCAGAGGCCTTTGTGCCCTTTTATACCTCTTTTACCTTCCCATTTAGTGTATTCACCTGAATGAGGATAAATGTGGTCTTACATGGAAAGGCCTCAGAACGCGGAGGAGGAGTGAGAAGGTTTTAAGTACTACCTGATGACCGCAAGGACTTGAGAGAAAGTCCATCAAATAAACCCAGCCTAGTCTCAAAGTGGGTCAGACTTAAATACAGCCGATTCATCCCTGGAGCAATTTTACCCAGGCAGACAGCTCTGGTGCCTGAGTTGCTGTCTAGGACAGTGATGGTGAACCTTTGAGAAATACAGTGCCCAACTGCAGCCCAGAGCCCCTGTGCTCATCACAAAGTGCAGTTAATCCTAAATACTCAAGTTTTAGGTTATTTATTATAATCTGTTTATTATAATGTATATATGTATGTATGCACATACATACCAGGAATTAAACTCATGACCTTGTTTTTGCTGGGCAGGTGCTGTGTCTGCTGAGCTATATTGCCAGCTCAATTTTAGTTGTTTTTTTTTTTTTTTTTTTGTGGAACCGGGGATTGAACTCACGCCCTTGCGCTTGCCAGGGAAGCGCTTATTCCATTGAGCCATCTCCCTGGTCCTCAATTTTAGTTTAAAAATCAACTCATCTTTTATCTTAGAAGAAAAATGACGTGTGTCATGGGTCTGGCTCCATGGACAACAAACCAAAGTGCACTGAGCTCACACATCCTGTTGCAGACAAATCTGCTCTTAAAGCTCGTTAGCAACAAAGCATCTGGTAATCCTCCCATGCCCCCTTGCGTGTTCTACGGACACAGTCAGGGCTGATCACTTAGGGTAACTCTGAGGCTGGAGGCAGGGCTAGTGTGGGAGGACTGACATCTCCCACCGCACCCAACTGCACTAGCAGGCAAAGGAAACCGAGTGGTCCTTACGTCTCTATCCATGGATGTGGACAGGAGCAGCTGCTTGTCATCCTCAGTTTGCAAAGGACATAAATTAAAGACAATTCTGGAGTGATTCTGCCCTTCTGAAGCGCCGAAGAGGGTGTATTTCCGTCTCCAGCACTGGGTGAGATCCCACAGCAGCAGCTCACCCCTGAGGAAGAAGAGCAAGCACACTAGTTCTCTTCCTAGGCAACCCGACATGCGGCTGGTGAGCCAAGTTGGGCCTGAGCTACAGAATGACTTCTGCCAACTGTTCCCTGACAAAACACAAGTCAAAGGGCACAACAATAGGAAAGTCCTCATTTTGATTGTTAGAGGCTTGCTGGCAGGAAGCAGATTGCCACACAAGCATCACGTGGGTACTGGATCTGCCAGAGGGAACAACTTTCTGTCTGTCTGTCTTTTTTGTATTTAGGACAGGGACTACAGGGTCTCACTGTGTAGATCGGACTCCTAGTGATCCTCCTGTTTTCAGCCTCCCAAGTGCTGGGCTTACAGGAGTGCGCCACCACGCCCAGCCTCAATCACCCTCTCAGCAAACTGTCTCAGTGCACCCTGTAGACAGGGCCAGCACAGCACGCTAGGGTTGGAAACCCAGCCGCTACGCTCCGCCTACGCAGGCACTTTAGTCCACTGAGCTATCAGGCCAGCCTGGAACAACTTTCTAGAATCGGACAATACCTGGGTAAGCACTCTGTCTCGACCTAGACATTTCTGCAGACTGACAAAATTTACAATACCTTGACTTGTGTGGGTTTCTCACTGCTGGTTTTGCTTCAATCCTGTGTCTTTTTCCCCCACAACCTTAACCTGCAGGTACCACTGCTCCTGTCACAAGTGCTAAAGTCATACACCCCTCAGCAGCTGTTTCTTGACTTGCAAACTGGATTTATACCCATATACAACTGTTTTTCTTTGGCCTGAAGGAAGGGGAATCAAGTAGCTATGAAACATGGAGGTGGAAAGGATACTTTATTGTACACCTTTGTTCTCGAAGTGGTAATGGACTAGGCCATCTTTTAAACAGACTGCTCCCATAGCTTTAATCATAAATGCCACCATAATCTGCGAGAATTCAATCTGCACGTAGCTCTTTTTGGGGGTGGCTGTGAGAGGCAGGATCACACAAACATGCTAGAGGGATTTGTATGGTTTACTATATTCATTTAAAAGCATCAAATTTGCTTATTAAAATTACTTGTCAGCAACTAGGAGCAGATTGTTACAAAGTACGTCTATGGCCTTGTTTTGTTGTTGTTCAAGTGAGGGCTGGGAACGCAACCCAGGGGTTGCATTTTCCACACAGGTGGTCTGGCACTGAGTCACATGCCCAACCTCACACTCAGTCTTTGCCTGTTCCTGGCATACAACTCCAAAACTCTTGAACTCTCCAGGCATAAGCATCACTGCTATATTAATGAGCTGACTGATGGCTGGCAGCCTCTAGGTAGCTTCAAGATGGGATCTGGTCATCAGAAAGATGAGGCAGAGTCAGGAGGCTGGCCCCACCAGCTTCCACCTAGGAGCGTGAGGGGATAGAGCTCAACTGGTCACCAGGGGCCAAAGGTATAATCAATCTGCAAATGTGAAGAAGCAAGTAAATACCCACAGGATGAGGCTCCGAGAGCTTCCAAAAGCCGACCGGCTGACCACCTGACAGTCCTGGAAGGAAGGAAAGGGCCCAAGAGGGCAGCGCAGCTCTCTGTCCTGCTTCTCATCCTCACCCTGTGTATATCTTCCAGTGTGTCCTTATAATGAGCAGGAAAGGGATGACGTCCCTGTGTTCTGTGAACTGCTTGTGCAGATTAACTGAACCTGAGGAGAGGGTTGTCAGACCCTGAATCACAGCCTGATGGTCAGAGGCACAGTTAAAACCACCTGGGGCGGTGTGTGTACATGTGTGTGCATGTGCGTGCGTGTGTAGTGCTGGCCACCAGGCCCTCTGAGGGATGTGACACTATCTCCAGGGAGACAAAGTTAGTACTTCCAAACTGAATTGAATGAGAGCACATACAGGTCATATCTGTCGCAGAAGTAATCGCTTATTGCTGATGGGGAGAAGTTCTCTTACCACTTGGGGTCGCAGAAGTCTTCTGCATCGACTGTGGTATGAGAAAGGACGGATAATGTGTGTTCCTATGGAAAGTGCTCAATACACTTTGTTTATTGAATGGCCAAAACCATTTTCATTCTAAGAAGTGAAAATATTACCATCACTCCTTTTTCTACAGGGAAGCTGTACACAGCACCTGAAGCTCAGCACTGTAAAAAGTCTTGGTAAGCATCAGATTGATTCTGGAATTCATTTGTGTCTGGCTTTACCCCCAGGACATAGTGTCGTACAGCACAAGTCTTTTGCTCTTCCATTTCACACGGCCCACCATAATGCACGCCTTGGCCATGACACTCTCCATCTCTAGGTGCACAACGAGAGGTCACACAGTCACTGAGGCCAACAGGGATTCAAAACGCATCAGAGAAAGCATGATCAGAGACTTACCCAAAGCAGCTGGACACCAGCTGTGTTGGCTGATTCTTGGGCCAATGCAGTGTCAACCAAAGGCGCTCTTTAACTGTGGGGTCCACACCCCCTCCTCGTCTCTTCAGAAAAGGGATTTTCAAAGTCATCACTCCTACAAGTTAGGGGAGGAGAGCAAGCACTCAGGACAGCAAAGCTACTTACTTGAAGTCACCAGCAGTTCCCAACAGGCTGTCAGAGATTTAACTATTACTTTGGCTGCTTTGAATACATACCTCAGTTTTTCATGGAAACATCATTATAAATAGTGATTAATCCCAATTTGGCCCAAAAGCCTATATGGATATTTAGCTTAACTTGTATAAGGTGTACACATGCAAACTTTTTTTTTTTTTGGTACCAGGGATTGAACTCAGAACCTTGTGCTTGCCAGGCAGGCACGTATGCCGTCAAGCTATGTGCCTGGCCCACAAACATACTTCTATACTGGATTACTATCACTTGCTCTGCAGCTCTTCTACTCCTGCCACCCAGGCCCTGCCAAATCCTAACATGCTTGATTTGTAAGTATGCTGTTCTCCATAGCAAATACCAACCTTTGTCTAAAGCAGTGACATCTGCCTTCTCTTTTTTTTTTATAAATTTTTTTTAATTAATTTATTTTATTTATTTATTTTTGTGTGTGTGTGGCCAGCTCAGCCCACCAGGGGGCAGGGCTGGCTGGCATGTGGTGCTGGGGGATTGAACCGCGGTCCCTGGGCTTTGGTAAGCTTGTTCTAAGTAGGTGCTTTAGACCACTGAGCCATCTCAGCAGCCCGTCTTCTCTTGAAATGCATCTAAAACCACAAAACCTATTATGTTCAAAGCAGAGTTCTAGCCCGGCTAAAGTGCGGCAGCAGTGATCAGGCCAGGAGAGTAAAAAACGGATTTCTGACAGATGATAAACTCTTAGAACAATAAGATGGAACAATAAGGAGCCATTCTACCAAATGAATATAACTTCGACCACAAGAGACATTACACATCAGCTGTACCTCGGCTTTTGGAGCAGCTCCAGATTCGAATGGTCTGATCTTTGCTTCCAGTGGCTAAGTAGCAGCCCTTTGCTTCTGTGGTCTGTACTGCAACTTTCCCATTGGGAATTTCAGGTTCTTCTAGGAGAGAGTTGGCAATTTTATTTCTTATTTGTATTAAATATGCACAAATGCTACTTAAAAAAAAATAGCTCATAAGGGTTCCTAAAACATAGCCATCTTTTTCATAGGTCTACTGTACAACCTAGCCTTAAAATTCAGTCAATTTAACTTTATCCACTTTGTTCTTTGGGCCTGAAGCACATGACATTCTCCTCTTACTCATCTCTACCTGAGTTTTCTTCTTGGTTTATGGACAAACACTCTTCACCAAGTAGGGGACACCAGGCTATGGAGTGGATTTCATCGTCGTGCCCTCGGAGTCTGTGAATAATTTCTCCTTTCTTACTGATGTCAATGATAACCACTAGGCCATCCTTGTAGCTAAAAAAACAAGTTAGAAATATTAGTAAAAAATCAAGAAAGTCTCTCTAGTAAATATTTTGGCTTAGGAGTCAGTGGTGTGGACTTCTCAAAGGTAAGGCCAAAATGGGAAGGACAAGAAACACTGTTGATCTGTCCTTATTTCAAAGTGCTCATTTCATGCCTCTTGATTACTAAAATCCTCCTTCATGATCAGACTGATACTGTATAGGTTTTCTGACATAAAATGCTAACAATGAACATGCTTTTATTCTAAGGGAACTTACAGGACAGTTCCTATAGGAGTGCAGCAACTCCCCTAGTTAGAGATGAAATTGTCCTAGTACACTAAAAGTTTGCTTTTTGCAATGAGGATGCTTTTCTAACTACAAACTGAGCAAAGCCACAGTACTCTGTTTTCTATACCTACATGTTTCATGGTTGATGTCTTATTAATTCAGAAGACACAGAGAAACTCTAATAGCTTTTAAGGAAAACTGATGAATTATTATAGTATATATAGTTTTTTTGAGGCAAAGTCTTGTTATGTGGTTCAGCCAGGCCTTGAACTCACTTCGTGGTCCAGGCTGGCCTCAAACTCATGGTCATTCTCCTGCTGCAGTCTCCCAAACGCTGGGATTACAGGCATGTACCACCACACCTGGCGATGAATTGTTTCAGACACATAGATATCTATTGCCTAGTTTAAGAAAAATTATCCACACAGCTGAAGTGTTTTGTATAGCACCTCTATAAAACCTCTCCTTTCCCAAGGATAAATCACTAGTTGTAAATATTTTTCTTTTGATAGGGTCTTGCCATGTAGTTCAGACTGGCCTTGAAATCACTGTGTAGTATAGGTTGACCTTGAACTCACAGTGATCCTCTTGCTTCTAGTTGTGAATTTTTTAGTACAGCCCTCCTAGCTTATTTCTACATATGTAACCAAATAAGACACAATCATTCTGCATATTTAGAAACCTCATGTAAGTGGTATCATGTCTTATTTTTCTGAAGTTTGCATTTTTATCTATTCTGAGTTAGCTATGCGGACACATGTAATTCTAGCTTCTGTTTGCTTACACTACTGCATTAGTACTGTATTGTATAGATTTATCTGTTTAATCATTTTTCTTCCGAAGAGTTTCCAGTTTTCACTATTATACACACAAAAAGGTTGCTGTTGACATTCTTGTACATGATTGCAGATATGCTGTCTAGTGTTAAGACTGCCACGTGTAAGACATGTGTGCGTATGTTTTTTAGAAAGCACAAAATTGTTATCCATGGGCTGGGGAGATAGCTTGGTAGAATAAGCACTTGCCTGGCAAGTGCAAGGGCCTGAGTTCAATCTCCAGTTCCGAAAAAAAAAAAAAAAAAAGTTATCCAGAGAATATGTAGCTATTCACATTCCTTACAAATTACAATTCTGCATGGAAAACCACCATTCCAGATAAAAAGGAAACAAAGCAACCAAAAGCAACTAGAAGTAATAGAATGCCAGGCTGAAGACTCACACTGAAAATCACAAAGTTATAAAACCTAGTTGTCACAAGAGGAAATTGTTTCAAAGACTGAATATGCTATCTGGAAATAATCAGTTTTGAAAGAGCCTCTAAAATAAACTGCTATGCTCTGTGTAGTTTCCCCTACATGAAGACCTTCTACTACCCGTTTCTGCTCTTTCACGATCTGCTCTGAGTCCAGCTTTTCAGACTCTGAGCAATGTCCTTTCTGCTGATCCCTGTAATACAGCAATGGCGTTCTGCTTCATGAGACCACGGAGGCACAGATGTCACATCCTTATCACTCACCCATGTGCACCTTCCCACCTTCTACCTTAGTACCTTCCATTTAATATTTCCACCTGTTCCACCCATATGTGCCTCCTCTGGTTGGTTGGTTTCTTTCTTTCTTTCTTTCTTTTTTTTTTTGTATTTCTTTAAGGAAGGGTCTACAGGGTGTCTAGGGTCTCATTACTAGATCAGACTCGTAGTGATCTGCCGGTTTACAGCCTCCCAAGAGCTGGGATTACAGGCGTGTGCCACCATACCCAGTCTTAATCACAGGCTCAGCTGCCCCAGGAGTGGCTCCGGCTCAGCTTTAATTGGGATTAATCTGGCCATCCCTCCTCTGGTTTCATGCAAAATTTTGTGGAAGCTTTTCTCCAGGTGTGTCTACTGGCTTACATCCGCCCAGCACACACTAGTCTCCTGAGTCCTCTCCAGTTAAACTTTATCCTTTAATATTCTTATAGGATGGCCTATGCCAAGCCTTCAAAGTGGATGCAATGAACACCTTTTGGAACGGCCAGGGAAAAGGCAGCTCATGTGAACCAGCCTTGGTGAGAAACAGAAGACACTCCCAGTGCCATGTCCTTCCTAGTCCCCAGGGAGTGCCGAGCGCCAGAGCCAGCATTTCGCACTGCGGCAGTTTCTTTCATGTCTAAGAACACTGTATGATATATGAAAAACATGAAAGAAAGAACATTTCCAACATTTAAAGGCCGGTTGGAGAAATTAGATACGAAGAACAAGGAAAGTATAGTATGAGGGAAGAGAAAGAAAAATGAGAAAGAGTGGAAACAGAAATGATGCTTATGGCTCAGGGGAACAGTTAACACTTGTAGAGAGTTTCCTTTGAGGAACAAAGGCACAGGAGAAGGTAGCATAAAGGAAAAATACGAGGATAAACAAAGATAAACCATCAATACCAATGGCATAGTATTTACCCAATGGCTACTAGGTCTTCATGATGAGGTGAACAAGTAAGACAGAAAATTGTCCTGGGCTCTACGAAGAGGCGCTGGGTGTCATTTCTGTTAATCCAATAGCAGAACAAGACTCCTTTTTCATCTCCAGATACTATTAAGTCCTTTACTCGAGGAGACCAATGTAATGCCGATATTGTATGCTTCAAAATGAAACAAAAGTATGCATTTGTTTCTCATTTGTCAGTGACCTGTTTTTACTTAATTTTTAACTTGAATCTCTAACCAGCACAGTGCAAAGGCACATCACAGGTACTTAAATACTTTTTGCTACTAGTATTTTATTTTTATTTTTTTGTTTTTTGAGACAGGATCTCACTATATAGTTCAGGCTGGCCTTGAACTCACGGTGACCATCCTGCCTCAGCCTCCTGTGTGAACATCATATTAACAAAGTGATGGGAAAATGCAAACTAGTGGGGACCAGAGGCTCATTAAAACTTTTCTTAAATCGATCAACACAAAGTTCTTAACAAAACTTAAGTGAATCTTTTCCTCTTTTTGTTCTCTTAAAAGTCAAGTACATCAAATAATATTTTAAAGCGAGTTTCTGTTTCTTATTTATAGTTTTTATTTAGTATTTATGTAAGTAACTTGCTATTAAATATTAGACTTCGCAGGCATGATGTCTTTGTGGAACTCATTAACTCTGCTGTGTGGCATGAGAACAGCCAGAGAGAGGACCTCACTGCTTGTTTCTAGCAGAAATTTACAAAACAATAAGTTTGCTTACCTCTAGTTTAGAAACAAAATAAACATTTCTTTTGAAAAAAGTTTTGAAGATAATTTACAATGATACAATTTTGCACCTAATTTATGGATACAATTATAAAAGTTACCTTGCACAGTTGAAGGACTAAAACATATTGGAAACAAAACAAAGACACATAAAAATGTTCTGAGAAAGCAGTGAGCCAGGTACCTGATGCAGGGCATGTTCCTTGACGACTGTTTTTGTCTCCACATCCCATATTTTCACAGTCCCGTCGTCGGAGCTGGTGGCACAGAGATTGTACTGACCAGGGTGATGCGAAAAGGTGAAGCCAGAGACCCTCTCGGTGTGTCCCACCAACTCTCCTATGACTTGAAGCAAAACCAAAGTGCAAGTTAATTAAAGTGCTACTTATGATACCAGAGAGAATGATACTGTTATTGACCGGGTAGTGAACTTGGTAGTGATCTCTCAACCCGCACGTATAACAGAAGCCCGGATGGCGGTACTGCACGACTTCAGACAATTCTTCTCTCTGACTTCGGTGTTCTCAATTGTAAGGTAATGCTGACATCCCTCCCGGTCCTGGATCGAGAAGCAGCTCACACCAAGAAAGTGAAAGTCATTCCTCCTTAGAGGCGGCCGCAGATCCTGCGGCAGGGACAGTCCGGACTCACCTCCCCAGGCACAATCAAAGCCTCCTCTGGAGTGCGACGGTACCTGCGCAACCCGTACACCTCGCAGAGTCACCTATCTGGAGGATCAGGGCCTGCGGGCGGGCGCAGACAACCCCGCAGAGGCTCCCAGAAGGACGCGGGCACCCGGCCGGGCGGGAGGCCCGGGAGACCTCGGGGCGCCGCGGCCCCACGTGGGCGCGGGGGGCGGACCGGCGCCCGCGGCGGGCTGCGGCTCCTGCGGGTTGCTGCGTCGGGCAGGGCCTTCCCTCCGTCTAGCGCTACCTCCAGGAAAGGGGGTGGCTGCAGACGACAGCCAGCGCCCTCGGGGAGACCGGGAAGGTTCGGGCCCTGATGTGGGGTGCCTCTTACCTCGAAACGCGGGCGTCCCGGTGATCGCGCCCGCGCCCGGGCCCACGCGGACCAGGAAGACGGACGTACGCGCGGCGAAGCCGAAGAGGCCGCCGGGCACGGCATCGCTGCTGCGGGTGCAGTACCAGTTGGGGGAGGGCGGCAGCGTCCGCGGCTCCGCTCCCATGCTGGCTGAGGGAAGAAGCCGCCAGGGCAGCGCTCTCCCCGCGACCGAGCCGGGAAGGGGCGGGCCCGGACTCTGGCCCCGCCCCTCGGCCGTCGCTACGGCGCGCGCCGAGGCCCACCCGGCGCCGCGGTGCTCGCGAGTGCGGGGGGCGGCGCAGCCCGAGCTCAGCCGGCCGACCTCGCCGGCCGGAGGTCCGGTGCGCGCCCGCCGGATCTGGTGCTGCTTAAATGCAGCCCTGAGGTCAGGTATTCTTGCTCTCCGTATCAAGGCCTGTAATTAAGGATTTAGACTGTGGAGCCACCTCCGCACACTGCCGGTTTTGTTCTTTGGCTCTATCCACCTGTTATCCCTTATTTTTTGAAAGCTGTGTGCCAGAGCACTTTGTTTTGGAGGTGTTTTGTTTTATTTTACTTTTTGTATTTTAGGGAAGGGTCTACAGGGTCTCACTACTGGGGTTACAGGCGCACGCCACCATGCCCTGTCTCAATCGCAGTCTCAGCGTGCCCCCGGGGCGCGGCCGGCACAGCTCAGCTCTGCGCTGAGCTATATATAGCCGGCCCAATCCGGAACGGGGGATTGAACTCAGGCCCTTGGCGTTTGCCAGGCAAACGCTTATTCTACTGAGCTATCTTCCCCCCACCCCCAAGTGTTTCTGCTCTGAAGATACTTCTTGCCATGTTGGATCGCTGGGAGGAATGAGACTTAGTGAAGTGCCTGTTGGGCAGGCTCACAGTTTTCCTGAAATTCCCGGGCAACACTAGTTCCTCCTCCTTCCTTACGTCATTCATTTTCCTCCTTGCGGTCTCCCGGGCAGCGCCTTACTCTTTTGTGGATTGGGCCGCCCCCGGAGTACTGCGCATGCGTGCCTCCCGACGGCCGATTGAACGCGGAGGCTTCCGTAGGGGGCGGGGAGAAAGATGGCGGCGGCCGTGCTGCGAGAGCTGGGTGAGGATTTCTGAGGGCTTGAGGGGCCGTACAGGGGAGTTAGAACGAGAGACTGAGTTGATCCCTTGAATTAACGTTGCAGGTACATTATGGATACAGAGCCTGAGAGGCCGGGGGCTGCTGGCTTCGGGGTAAGTGTCCTCTTGGAGTTTTACAGGGGCCCGAGGCTTGCCCAGCGGCAGCCTGGTGTTTCGGGCTCGCGGGCGACAGGGAGCGCGCCAGTGTCTGCTGCGCTACACTGTCGCACTGTCATACCGTGTAGCCCCGCGGGGGCCAGGATTCCTCCTCGTTGCCCAGGGGTGACTGTGAAGATGTACTCGGAGCAGTTCTTAGCTTTCCGAACGCGGCTGGATTCTTCCACCTGTGTAGTGGAGAGGCCAGTTTTTCTGGCTCCCGCCTTGGTTACTTGCTTGCGGGAGCAGTGGCTGTGTCGTTAGATGATCGCGCTTCACGTCCAGCTTGACGTTGTTGAACTTCTAATATGCATTATCTTTTCTCGTTCTATGACCATTTTTCAGACAAGTAAGTTATAAAGTCCTTAATAATTTGTCCAGTGCTACTCAGTTAGAGGAAGTTTTGAAGTCTTTTTCTTTGCAGAGTATTCTGTGGTCTCAGGACAAAAGCGTTCTGTAAAATTTAGGGAATGTGGCGGTTTGAGTTTGGCCTACCAAGAGGCCTGCCTTCTTTTTTGTTTTGTTTTTGTTTTTCTCCTCTTCTGCAGGACAGTAGTTGATATTTGGGAATTGATATTGTCCTTGTAAATTTTCTGACTTCTATCTTTGCTAGCACTACTTTGACTTTGTAGACTTTAAGACAGCTAAGTTGGGTATGAATTTAATTGTGATTTATTTATTTATTTATTTTTTAAAGACAGGTCTTGCTAAGTTGCTTAGACTGGGTTCCAACTTGTAATCTTCCTGCCTCAGCCTTCCCAAGTGCTGGGAATATGGACAGGTACCACCACACTCAGTTAATTTAAGTTGTTTTGCTGACTTAATACTAGAAGATTGAGCAGTTTGGCCTCAATCTTTTCAATCATATAATGTAAAGAGTGTTGGTTTTGCTAGATAATCTCTACATTTCTTTAGAGTTTTAAAGTGAATGTAATTTTATGAATCCTCATTGTGGATTTTATAATTGGGGAAATAACTATATGAAAACTCAATAGAAGCTGGATATGATGGCCCAGGCCTGTCATACCAGCCCTTGAGAGGCTGAGGCAGAAGGATTGTCTTGGGTTTGAGTGCAGCCTGGACTATGTAGTTCAAGGAGAGTCTGAACCACATAATGAGACCCTATCTCAATAAAAAGGAAAATTAAGAAGGGAACAAAGAATTCTCATAACCATACAAACTCTTAGAAATCAGTTCATTTAATGATTGGAAATTTAATGACATACAGGTACAAGATAGGAAATAGAAAGGAACTAGAAGAGAGAATGGGAGGGCCCATGGCAGTTAGTACTATGCATTCCTTATTTAAAAACATTTAACTGAGTTAAGAAAAATTACTGCACCCCAGCCAAATCTTTCTACAGGTTAGATTTGGTAGAAGACTCAAGATCACAAAAAACAGTGAATGTTTAAAATTTAAAAACATTAAGGGCTTGCTTGATAGCTCAGTGGACTAAAGCACCTGCTTAGGTGGAGCACCACAACTGGGCTTCCATCCCTGGCGTGCTGTGAGCGCTGACACTGGGATGGAGACTGGGCGTGGTGGTGTGCACCTGTAATGCCAGCATGTTTCAGAAGGCTGAAAACAAGAGAATCACTGAGTCCAATCTACGTAGTGAGACCCCGTACTAAATACAGAAGAAAAAAAAAAACTTACTAAGTAAAGTACACATAGCTGTTAATACCCGTGAGATTTCTGTCCTTCCTCTGAACACTTATCCCATTATTCTGCCACTCTCTGAAGCAGTTCCTCTTTCACGTCTCTAGTTGTGCTGTCCTCACTGCCGTGCCATCCTCACCAGATTGCAGATGTCTACCTTTCATGTTCATTTTGACTTGGAGGAAGAACCAAAAATTACATGGTGCCAGGACTGGTAAATAAGGTGGAGGAGGACACACAGTAGGGCTTTCACAAGCTTGCTTTTCTGTTGGATGGCACTCAGGAGCAATAGTCACTATATTTCTTATTACATTTATAAAAACAAAATGGAGGACTTCTACGGTTGCTTCAGAAACTGGTAATAATGAGCTGGGCATGGTGGCACACACCTGTAATCCCTGCACTCTGGGGGCCAAGAAAGGAGAAGTACCAGGAGTTTGAGACCAGCCTGGGCTACATGGTGAATTTAAGGCCAGCCTGAACTACATGACGGAACATAACTCAAAAAACCAAACCAAACCAAGGAATCAGATTCTGTGCTGGAAGTAGTCAATAGCCACCTTGGAATCCCAGATGACATTACATGTGTTAGATGTCAGCCTTTACACAACACTGGGCAAGAAGAAAATACATTGAAAGTAGTTCCTTTTCTATGTAGTCAAGTCACTCCTAAAAGACTCTTTTTTTTTTTTTTTACATTTATTTATGTGTGTGTGTGTGTGTGTGTGTGTGGCCAGCTCTGCCCACCAGGAGGCGGGGCTAGCTGGCATGTGGTGCTGGGGGACTGAACCACGGTCCCTGTGCTTTGCCAAGCTTGTTCCAAGTAGGTGCTTTAGACCACTGAGCCATCTCTCCAGCCCCCTAAAAGACTCTTTAAAAAAAAAAAAAAAAAAATTTGTGTGTGTGGAACTGGGGATTGAACTTAGACCCTTGTGCTTGCCAGGCAAGCACTTGTTCTACTGAGCCATTTCCCCAGCCCCCCAAGACTTTCTTAAAGTAAAGGGTAGAATTTATCTCTGAATAGGTTTATTTGTTTGTTTATTTATTTGGCAGAACCAGGGATTGAACTATATGGTCCTTGTACTTGCCAGGTAGGCGCTTATTCTACTGAGTTAGCTCCTTGGCCCCCTCTCTGAGTTTATTTTTGATATGCTTTTGCTGTTTGCCACAATAAACAAGATTTCACAACTAGATTGATTTTCTCTCTCCAAACTTCTTTCTCTCATAAAGGCAACTGTGATTACATTTAGGGCAGAACCAGATCACCCGGCACAAGCTCTTTCCTGTCACGATACCTGTCATATTTTGCCATTCACAGATTCTTGACATAAAGACATAACACGTCTTTGAGGGCACCATTCAGCCCACTGCATTCTCTTTCAAAAAAGGTTTGAGAGATCCTCTTAGGCCTTTTCTCCACAGAGGTGCCTGAAGCCCATACTTGTGTTTGCTGCTCTTTGGCCCAGAATGCCCCTTACGTGGTCGTTGTCAGTCTGTGCTGTGTCCAGCTCTCAGCTCCCATCCAGTGCTTTACGGTCGTCCTGATGACATCAGCCCAGATGCTGCTCCCCCAGTCGTCTTAGTGCCCGTTGCACATTTTGAGCTCATTCCGTCCGCCTAACTGAATTTGTTATTCTGAAAATTTTCATTAGTAAATGTATTCTCCACATGGTGATTGCGGTCTGGTGGGGAGTGGATACAGGTACATAGCATGTCTTTTTTTTTTTTTTTTTGTATGTCCCCTTCCCCTCCTCTTCCTCCACTCTCCATCTCTTGGCAAAAGATCCATTCCCTGTTGCCTGTTGCCTGTTGCCTGTTCCCTTCTATTTTGCTTTTTGTTTTGGGTTTTTCTTCTAAGAGAAATTTATGGAATATTTAAGCTCTGTGTTTGATTTATTTTACTTCACATTATGGTCTCAGATGCTTGCATTTTTCTACGAAGGACTCATTTATCCTTCTTTGGTAGTACTCCATTGTGTATAAATACCACATTTTCTTTACCTAATCGTGTACCTAAGCAGAAAGCATAGGTCCATAGACAGACACATGGACCTATATGTCCATCAACAGAAAATGAATTTTTTATGTGTGCAACTCAGAGGATCAGTCCTTAGGTAAGAGAAAATCTTGAGATAAAGGGGTGATAGTGGCAGAAGTGGGAAAAGCTGGATCCAGGTTCTATATCCCTCTCAAGTGACTCAGTAGCTGAATTTTATTTTATTTATTTTATTTTTATTTTTTTTTTTTAATTTATTTATTTATTTGTGTGTGTGTGGCCAGCTCAGCCCACCAGGGAGCGGGGCTGGCTGGCATGTGGTGCTGGGGGATTGAACCGCGGTCCCTGTGCTTTACTAAGCTTGTTCTAAGTAGGTGCTTTAGACCACTGAGCCATCTCACCAGCCCCAGTAGCTGAATTTTAATCAAGCATTGGAAATATGTTTCATACATCTTTGCATCCTATCACTTAGAACATACCTGCAATGTTATAAGAAATATGCACATATATGTGGATATTTTTCTGTCTGTTGTTCTATTTTTCCACCTATCTGAGAAAGAGAGAAAGGGAAAGGGGGGTTGTTGCCTGCTTTTTGGCACAAATTTAATTTTTGTCATTTCCTCGGTGGACATGTATGCACGTGAGTGTTGTTCTGGGTTTTCTGTGCCATGCTAGCATATTATTATTACGAGTGTGTTCATAGGGACCCCTGAATGAGTCACTCAGACAGACGTGTGGATGGCCTGGGTGCCCCTTCTGCACCTGGCGTCCGAAATGAGGGCAGTGCCATGGAGCACAGCCCTTTCATGTGCGCAACCTGATTCTAACTCCAAGTAGACAGCATGAGTTGAATTCAATTGATAGAGAGCTAGTGGGTGTCAGATAACTGGTTGTTAGTGTGCAAAATCTCTGCATAATTTGGTGTCAGAGAGAAAGACACCATAGTACCTTATACTTACTAACTGGCTAGTAAGTATATTTTATACGTTTATAGAATTTTTTTAGTTTTTTGGTACTGGGAATTGAACTCAGGACCTTCTGCTTGCCTGGCAGTCGTATCACTGGCCCTAATTAGTGAGTATAAATTGATAAACGGAAAATCAACCTGACAAATGCAAGTTGTAATCTGGAAGGCTGCCAGGAGTTGAGATTCCTGTTTATCCATTCCAATTGCAAATGAAGGGTGGGTTCAGATTTCTAGCGTTAGGTAGTAGCATAGCTTGTGCTGATTATCCTCCTTCTTCATACTTTTTAAACTTTTCTTTAGGAACCGGGAGGCCTTTGGAAGTTGTTTACACCAGG